AATGATTCATACATTTTTAAAGCTTTGTGGTTGCTTTGCATTCTGGTTTTTTTCTTGTTTGACAGTTGTGAAATGGCAACTCTACACAGAAGCTCTTGCTCATTATTAATTTACTGTTGCTGTTTCAGGACGCGACAACATTTCCAACTGCCAAACCACACTGCTACAGAAAATACCTGGACATGACTCACACCTAATGATATGTATGTTCTGTCTGCCACCCACGGCAATTACAGAAAATACAGGAAGTACATCACTGGTTTTTGCAGTGGTTGCTGATGGACAGTAAAATCTACCAGTAAAATACACTGGTAAATACACCATCATTTGTGTTTTTGGTACAGAGATTGTCAGTGTGGCTGGCATGACTCAAACACGAGGCTAGAGCCCGACACTGATTTATCAGCTGATGTTGGCCATCACAGATATATCTGTATCGGTACATATAATCTCCGATATGTGCCGATATGAAAACTTTTATTAAGAAGCGATACTGCAGTGGAAACGCTCGGGTCAAGTCAAGTTATATAGGCAGAATCTTATGTATATTTGATCCTTTTTGTTTCATTCAAGTTAAATATAGTATATATATATATATATATATATATATATATAATGTACATATTTGTTCTTATGAAGTTTACTTAAGCACTTTTCAAGCCTGGAGAAATCGATGGTTCGTAACGGTAACGGTCTGTCTGTCAGTGACGTCATATCCTCTATGTGCATGTGTCACTGTTGTGGTTGTCTGCCAGAAGCATCAAAATTGACTTTTATCCAGTTTCAAGTCACATTTTTAAGATACACTTTATACAGCTTGGTTGTTTTCAACTATATATTTTAATCAGATGAAGGATTTCAGTGGTTGGACGTCTGGATCTGAAGTTATCAGAGAAAAAAAACAAGCAAATTTAATTTTTTGTCATTGTTTTGATTGAGGGACTCCTACGGGAAGAAGTTACAGACTGTGTGTTTAAATTAAAGAAGACACGAGTCACTGTCACTGGTGTCAAGTCTTTACATGACAACAGACAAGTTGACTCCACCATCAAATCCTTTAGCTGCCTCACAGCTGTAGTGGGTAGTTGTCAACATAGAGAGATTCTTAGTTTCTTTACAGTTTAGTGTGAAAGAAGTTAAAGCACGCATTATGTACAGTGTTTGATACTCGTCGGTTTCAAAAGCTACTGATTATTATCGTCAAACCCCAAGCAGCTCACAGGGACAGTTAGTGAGACGAGACAGAGACACAGACTCTGCATGTAGAAGCACGAAAAACATTCAAGAGTTAATCAAAGTGTGGATAAAGGAGAGAAATTTCTATTCTGCAGGGGACAAATAACTGATGTCATACTATACGGTGCTATAGCTTGTGCTGCTAATGGCAAATTTATTGATTTTACTTATTCAGATGAATCCAACTGAGATAGGACTCTCATTTTAAAGGGAGACCTGAATGTACTTAAAAAACGTAATGAAAACAACTCATGAACAGAAAGAAAGAATTTACAATACAAGTTAAATAACAAACAATAAAACAATACCAAGATTATAAAACACAGCCATTCATCCAGTGAGTAAAACAAAGTCTCATCAGTTAAAACACTTGTTCTGTTTTGGGAAGGTTTAAAATCTTTTAAAAAGAGATAATAGTCAAAGACACAGTCTGATTAAAACACTCCAATGTCTCACCATATCTGATCTTGAGACTGACTGGCACTTAACAGGATCAGTGCACATTAAAACAACAGGCAACCAGTCACATGCGCTGTGCCAAGCCATATGCAAACAGAAACCCGTATGTGCTCCCACTTTAGATTAAAAAAAAAAAAGAGAAATAAACACACGCCTGGCCCTGTTGCAGTGGAGATGCATCGCACTGTATCTAACTGACAGCTTGGTGGGTTGTTGGTGCTATAAGCTCATCTTATCCTCCCAGTGGGGAGTGTGACTGTATGGAAATGTCAGCCTCAGCAGCCCTCACATGCTCTCCACCCACGGCCCAAAACTAGCTGCTGACTGTGGTGTGTGTGTGTGTGTGTGTGTGTGTGCAAGACATGCCAGAGTCACTGTTGAATCATGTCTATTCCTGCACGCACTCTAATGCAGACAAACCTACACAACACAGAGACTCGTATCACATACATATACACAGACTTGCGAACGACACATATTGTCACAACTGAGTGTAAAGCTGTTATTTTCCAAATGTCAACTTTGTAGAAAGAAAAATAGAGCAGCCTAGTTTCTAAAGTCAGTTTTTCAGGGCATCTTGCTTTTCTTCATGTGATATTATGTAACACTAATTTCTTTACCATTTATTTTTAATGGATATATGATGTGGTGTGCATAATAAGTCTTTTCCATTTGGTTGTGATTTCAAATTCATTCATATTTGATGTGATCTTGTTGGTTAAAGAAGAGCTTCGAGCTTTTTTTCAACCAACAGAGGAAACATATCATCCTTAAACCATTTTAACCATGAAAATCACTAAAACCAGCCATAGATTATATTTTAAAGGTCCCATACTGTATAAAGGTAGATGTCCATGTGTAGTTTGATTATAAAGCAGGTCTAGGTTCTATATTAATACTGTGAAAGTATCAAAGCCTCAGTCCACAGAGAAATGCACACAGCCTGTATTCAGAAACTGAGCCTTAAAACCAGACGTCAGGACTTCTGTAACTTTGTGATGTCACACCAAAGCAGTCAATGCTCTCAGCTATGCCCCAAGCCCCGCCCACCTGGATCTACCATCCAGCCTTGCAGGATTTGGTTTCTCTGAGTGTTTATCTCCTTATGGATCAACACTTAAAAAAAAAAAAAAAAAAAAACACAGGAAAAGTAAAATGTAAAATATGGGACCTTTAAAATAAAAGCAGGGGGGGGAATTGTTTGGGGAAAGATTTGTTGAACAGTCTCATGTGTTCCCATGTTAACCTCTGGTGGCTGAGTCTTCTCAGGAGAGGACTAGAGAGGAAACGTGCAGTGACTGAGGTCACCTGATCTTGATCTCATTTCATCTGCTGTGCCACTGCATACATAAAGATAATTATCTTTCTCTGGGTTTGTTTTTGTTCAGGAAATTACATTTTGGTCTTCAATAAAAGTATTATGGATGTTTTAATACCCTCGGTCACTGCGTGTGAGCTCATATAAATGACTCCCACATTTAAAAAAATAATAATAATAATTGTTTCTGCACTGTTGTGATGGATTAGGTACACTCCCCCGGTGTGTATTTGTTTGGTCTAAATGGAGCAGAATTAGCAAAACAACATCCTGTTAAAGAGACTAAGAGGAGCTAATGCTGCTGGTTGAGCCTGTGCAGAGGATCAGTTTTCCTGCCTATCTGACGTTCAGGTTTAAGAGTTCATAAAGGCCCTCCTCCTCCTCCCCTCTCCATCTCCTTCCTCTTGGAAAAGGTTTCCGTCCCCATCACTCCCTGCTCTTATTCTTCTCCTCCTACTTTTTTTTGTCGTCATTATCATTCCCTCCCCTTCTTGCTGTGGTGTTAAAGCGATGTAGCCCAGCAGCAGGTGCTGGCTTCAAAGACTTTAGTGACTGTGCGTCGTTTGTCATCTGTCTTCGCCCTTGAGATGTCATCCACATCTTCAGCAGTGGCACGGAGGGGCGCTGACATAAACGACTTCTCCTCATCCAGTTCTCTGGTGTGGCCCACCGTCAACCTTTACCCTGCACCTCAAGGTTCAGGGGCCAGGCGTGGCCACCGGGGCCAGGCACAGATGGTTCAGCCATGGGACACATCAGAGTCTGATCGGCGCCTCCTTCGGGGCGGACAGGTGGGCCGGGGGGTGTTGAGTCGGAGCTCGCAGGTGGAGTTGGAAAGAGATGTGGCGTTGGAGAGATGTGTTGGAACAGTTGGCATTTTCTAAAGGTCAAGACCTTCGCTGATTCAGCCAGGGACACAGAGGAGAAGAGGCAGGACAGGGCGCTGCTGTGTGTGTGTGTGCGTGTGTGTGTGTGTGTGTATGTGTGTGTGTATCTCTAGAGTTATGAGGTCCTAAAGTCCTCACCGGGATAGAAAGATGAGGAATTTTCTCCGTCTGTCAGAGCCGTTTTGGGTCTAGATTGTACATTTGGGAACAAATGCAGTTAAATTTGGTAAATAAAAGTCCTTGAAAGTACAATAAAACAAATGTGTGTTTGTGTGTGCATGTGTGTGTGTTCTGTGTGTAGAACTGAGATTGTCTGATCTGTCTGGGCATGCTGCCCACCTCTCTTTGACGCACCAGGCCTGACAGGTGTCTCAGGGTCTCCTAGCTAAGGGTGGGAGGATGAGCTTGCACTACACACACAAACACACACACACGCATTTTATACACAAGTACAGACTCTCCTCAAACAAATCCAGTCACACCACAGGTTCAGCAGAGCAGATGGCATGACATTGCCGCTTCTTCAGATGAAGTCGAGGATGGGTGGGGGGGGGGCATCCAGCCTCTCTCTGATCTGTGCCTCTCTGTGATAGCAACATCTCTCTCTCTCTCTCTCTCTCTCTCTCTCTCTCTCTCTCTCTCAGCGCTGAGAGTTTTCTTGACAGAGAGTTTGGGAGCATGCTCAGTGGCACGATTGTGAATTCATAGCAATAAGATGCAACAGTGAAGTCATGTGAAACACTCCTAACAAACTCCCTGTTCAAATAAACCATTTGGAACATGTTTGGCGTGAACTTGCCCTTGAAATTTGCGGCTGACTCAAAGTGAAAGGCAGCGGCGGGTCTTTTTAGTGCACAGGGAACCTCTTCAGGAGGGCGCAGTCGGAGCCTTCAGGCCTGTGGGCAAACACAGAGTCTCGTTTGGTCCGTGGTCTTTGGCTCAAGCGAAAACTCACTTCAAAGCCGTCGTCAGCAACCAGCAGACCAACTAATTCATTCTCTGTACAGGCTTTTTCTCTTTTTTTTTAATGATTCATTGTGAGTATTGACTCACATTCAGGCAAGTGATAATTTGACAGAACTTGTGTTACAGTGGAGAAGTGTCTAAACCCATCCTGGGGTCACTTATACATGTTAAGTGTTTATGTTTTAATATTCCAAAGAGAATAGAAATAGTATTTTACATTTTCATGTTCTACTATTTTAAATATGTTTGAGTAGAATGCAGGTGGAAAACTTGCAATGATTAAAATGCCTTTATGTTAGGTTGTAGCCTCCTCCTGAAACCCTTTTCCAGGAGCTGAATAGTCCTGATCTGAGTGATGTGTCACCCTACACCTCTGCAGCAGCTGAAGTGACACTGTGTGTGTTTGTCTCTCTGCGTCTGCAGGCTCACCTGGTGGCCGCCTTCGAAAAGAGCCTGAGCAACATGACCTGCCGCCTGCAGAGCCTCACCATGACCGCTGAACAAAAGGTACGGGAGCTCAGTCCTGCATGTGAGATATACTGTGCATGAACTCCATGATGAAGGGATTACAGGGAGGGGAAATGATTAGAAACAGACAGCATCACCTTTCTGCATGTTCCATAAACCTGCAGCCCTAAAACACCATTTAAAACCCTGACTTTTACAGAAATCATGCAGAATTCATCTGCCCCCACCTCCGTTTTCTCCATTCTCTCACAAGTTGACTCTTGTAAGAGACTCTTGTCAAGAGGAGGTCTTAGAGGAGCTTGAATGGTGCTGAAATGCTGATCACACAGCAGCAGCAATATGTTCAAAGATAAACCCCCCCCCCTCACAAATAATGAATGCTTCCCTCTGTTCACACACACACACACACACACACACACACACAGTGCGCTGACGAACCCTGGCAGCTTTTTAATCCTCTATAAATTAAAGCAGACTGGGATCTGGTGGGATGTCTTTGTCAAACAAGGCCGTCCCAACTTTTAATTAAAGCGGAAACCCTATCTGCGGCCCTCATTGGGTTTTAGGGAAAAGGCAGAATATGAAACTCCCTCTATCTGATCGTGTTGGTTCAACAGAGAGGAAAGGTTTTTTTTTTTTTATAATTCTAAGCAGGTGGTGCTGGCTTTGGGGCAAATCCACTGTGAGAGTCCTATCTTCTTCAAAATACCGTCCCCTACTTTTTCCTCTCATTCTCTCCCACTGAAAGACCATGCCAATGCCAAATTTTAGAATTCGTTCCCAGTGACGAAGCTAATGCGTTCATTCCAACAGATTTGTCATCCTTTTTAAAAATAACCTGGGCTGGTCATCAGTTCTGGGGTTGTTCCATCTGTTTTATGTAGACTACAGAGATTACATTTCTCCAAAAACTCAGTAACTGCACTGAAAACATCTCTCTGTCTCTCTCCAGGAGTCTGAGTTGGCTGAGTTGCGGGAGACAATAGAGATGCTAAAGACCCAGAACACAGACGCCCAGACGGCCATCCAGGTGGCGCTCAACGGCCCTGACCACCTCCACAAAGGTAATGAGGCAGGGGACATTGGATCAGACTTCTCTCAAATTAACTAATGTTTTAAGAAGTCCGTAAACGCCTCCCTGTTTCTGAGTTGATGCTGATTAGCCCCAGGGGGAAATGATCTCCTGATATTTGAATGTGCTGTAGAGGTCAGTTTTGGAAAGCCTTGATTTTAGTCATGGAACCAACCTGAATCAGATTAATCAGATCAATTTAGCTGCTAATTGAAGCCAAGCTGAGCCCAACGTAGCTGAAAATAAAAGAGAGAATTCAACCAACACACTCCGGTTCACTGGTCAGCTCAAGTTTCTCTGTCGTTTCCAGACCTGCGGATTAGACGGCAGCACTCGTCTGAAAGCATGTCCAGCATCAACAGCGCAGCCAGTCACTCCAGCATGGGCAGCCTGGGCAAGGACGCCGAAGACAAGAAGAAGAAGAAGAAGAGTTGGGTAGGTGGAAGAAATAGTTGGCAATTCAAATATGGACAGAAAACTCAGTATATAAAGTGGACCTGGGCAAAAATGGTTCCTCTCGTGGTAGAAGAAAAAAAAAAGTCAACCTAGGTTTTATTTTCAAGATTAAATCTCAGGCAGGTATTTACTCTTCTACGAGAAATGGCAGAAAGTATAAAAACCCAACAGGAGAAAACAAAACAACAACATCCAACAAAAAATGCTACAAATAATTTATTAAGGGTTCATTTATGACATTTTCTTTCTGCCACTTTCAAGTTCCTAGAAGTCAATAATCAATACTCAAGTATCTTTATCTCCAGCCCCTTCATTCACTTGTAGCATCAGAAGCCTTTTATCACTATCACTGAGTTGCTTTAGACTCTTAATTCAGGTAAATGTCTTCTTTACAAAGAAGACAACATTTTTGTGGATCTGTGACATAAAGCTTCTTGAACTGTTGCACCCACTGTAACTGTAATCAGCTAAGTGCCTAAAATGTAGAAGTAGAATACACTGAATATTCTCAAGTGTACCTGCATGTAGTTTGATCTAACCATGATCCAATCAGAAGAGAGGAGGTACTGAGAGCCTCTTCTCTGGTTGGCTGACTGTTTTCTGAGTGATCCAATAAAAATATAACAGATATGAGGTAAACACTCTAATCTAAACTAAAACTTAACTAAATCCTGCAAGGCTGGATGGTAGATCCAGGTGGGCGGGGCTTGGGGCAAGGTGTGAGAGCAGTGACTGCTTTGTTGTGACATCACAAAGTTACAGAAGTCCTGACGGCTGGTTTTAAGGCTCAGTTTCTGAATACAGGCTGTGTGCATTTCTCTGTGGACTGAGGCTTTGATACTTTCACAGTATTAATATAGAACCTAGACCTGCTTTATAATCAAACTACACATGGACATCTACCTTTATACTTTATGAGACCTTTAATAAAACTGCAAATGGTAATGCATTTATTATTACTAGGGTATTGCCAATCCTTCTTTTAGTGTAAAGATGTGTTTGCACACTTATGCACTTATGAATCTGAGGTGAAGTTACCATGTGACATGACGATCCAAAAGTGTTTACTCGCATATTGAGTTTGGACACCTTCAGAGCGTGTGCCGCAGTGCAGAGCGTGTTCAGATTCCCACAGGCCCATAGGTGTGAAAATCCTAAAACTAACTCATCACAATTGGCCATCATGTCACTGTTGCTAGGTTACAGTGCTGACATGGTATCAGCTGAGTGCCCAACGTACCATCTAGAGGTGAGGACTAACAGTGGGTCGAGCAGAGGAGTCAACTACCCTGCAATTAATGTTTGAGACACACTTGAAATTTCATATCCACTGACACCGGCAATGCAGATTAGTTAGGAAAGAAGCAAAGTGGCCACTGACGTCACAGACACTGAGGTTCAGCTTGAAACCAGGGCGATGGTTGCCTAGAGGTTAGAGAAGAGCTTTTTGAATCACTGTGACAAGTAGGAAAGTCTGGACTGGAGAGGAACACTCTCACCTGCCTTAAAATCTTCTGTCAGACCACTTCTGAGAAAAGCCCTTAATCCCTCAATTAGTTTGGAGATACATTTTTATTTCTCTAAGTCTAACACAAAGTTCACTCTCACCCGTGTCTCTATTTTGTCCTTGATGTACTTTCCCCTGCTTTGGGGGATGTAATCTGGCCAAGGAGGACATTTTTTAATGCAATACCAATCTCCTGTTTCCCATTCTACTGAAGGATACGTCCACAAACTCCCACAAATCAAGTCAAACAAGTCTAGAAATTCATATCCACAGCCGTAAAGCTCCCTCTCCTCCCTCTGCCCTTCTCTCCGATGTTGCTGTTCTTTGCTTCGCTCTATAATAGCAGCTCAGTCTCCCCGGCTGAGAGCTTATTTGCTGCAGCCCCCTGAGTCAGACAGATGACATATTAGAAGTTCCATCTCAGCCAAAGAGCACAGAGCCGCTTCTCGGCCTCTGCTGCAATGTAAAACTCCTGCCCTTGAAAACGAAATGCATGCAAACAAGCCAAAAGTTCAGCACAAGAGTGTGACACCCTAGCCTGCCGTGTTAAGTTAGAACACCCCCACCCCCACCCCCCACCCAAAAAAAAAATAAAATAAAAAAATCATCTCACCCTCATGAATACAAATCAATGCCTTATTTAAGCAGCAATTAATTATTTATTTGCATAAATTCTGCCGTGGTGCCCATGTGGGTGGAGATGAAGAGTGAAGCGTGAGCAGAGAGGCAGCGGATCGTTGTAGCAGGGCAGCAGCAGCTGGACGCTGTGATGAAAAGGGAGATTGCTCTTCAATAAGGCAGCAAGCATCCGACCTGCTGATGTCTCCTGAAGCAGGACATGGACTGGATTTACTTCCTGTATTTGATATCTGACCTCCGATCTCACTGTGTATTTTTATTATTCATCAAATCATGACTAAACAGCATGCAGGAAAAATGTAATTTATCTCCTTGAATTTACATTAACCTTACAATATACTGATGTTGTGTATTCTTGCACAGTCTTGCTATAAATCCTTTTTTTGGTTGTACTGCAGGTGGTATTATGAAATATGTCATCAGCACGGGGAGAAAAAAAACTAACTGCTTTGAAATACATATTAATTTTTAGCATTTCCCTGCCACTAGCATGTAAAAGTGCTTACTGCAATTTTAAGATGTCACTTCCCTGTCATGTGAGTAAGCATTTTGGAAAAGCGGTGGTGAAAAATCTAGAGATGGGCAGGGCTGTGAATATGTGAAGATGTCTTCTAAATGTAATAATAGTAGCACTCATCATCATAATCATCGGCCTTGCAACAGCGATGACTGCATTTCCTCAGTGAACAGACACATTTGCAGCAATGTTTTGAGTTTGGTGCAGTAGATGGGTGAAGTGTGTGTTTGTGTGGCTTAACGCTGGGTGTGTTCTGCGTCTTCAGGTGGCTGATTCCATCCCGGCTCAGGTCAGTGGTTTCCAGAGTGTCTTCTGTATGTTTGCCGTGGTTATTCCCCATCCCCATCCTCCCCCCTCCCTTCCTCCTCTCCCTTATTTGTTCCTCCCTCTTTCCCCCTCAGAGCAAACTCTTCTTTCCCTTTTCTGGAAACGTCGGCATGGAAACAGCAACCCTCCCCCTTCTCCCTTGTTCTTGTTCCTCTTCTGTCCTCCCTCTTTTCCTCCCCCCTTGTACATTTTGATTGCCTGGTCAGCCCTAATTTCTAGGGTCATTACAAAGCCTGATCGCCCCCTCTCCATCTCTCATTTTCATCTCTACTTACGGCCTTGCTTCTTAACTCCCTCTTTACCTAAACCAGACAGTGACCATAGCTTGGAAACAGCACGGAGTGACTTCCTGATCTGGCAGGATGTGATGTCACCAGAACGTATCTTTTAGTAACAGACATGATGTGCTTGTGGAGACTGTGGGCGGCGATGCTGACATCTTTGCCCCTGTGTGTTTGTGTTTTCCATCTTGCAGTTACGCAGCTCCTTCAAGCAGGCGTTCAGCAAGAAGAAAACCAAATCCCAGTCGGCCCACGACGAGATGGAGGAGATGACTGACTCTCTGCCATCCTCACCCAAACTGCAGCATGACAACAGGCAGGGCAGCATTGCCACGCTGCGCTCCTCGCCCTCCACCACCGAGTGAGTTTTACAAATATATGTACACCTGCATCCAGTCTCACGCAGATGTAGGTACTTATATGCAGCACACAGGTAATTCTCACCTCCTCCTGTATGCAGTTAGCACACACACACTGATATATATCAATGCATACCAATAGAAACAACATAGAAACACTGCGCACAGTTGGCTGTTTTGTTCCTTTTTCACTGTTATTTCACTGTTATTTTCTTTTCACACGTCTTTAAATCCTCTCCTCACTTTTCTTTTATCTTTCCTCTGTTCATGCTTTTCTTTAACGTCTCCTCCACCTGCTGTAGCAAGTGCGTTTGTGATAGCAAGTCCTCTCCTATTTGGACACCAAAGAAAAAGCAAAATGGCCATGTGGTCTACAAGCACAGATCTCGGTAACAGCCGCTGTGTGGCATGCTCCCAGGGAGTGTGTGTGCAGTGGGGTGTGTTGGTGTGACTTGATATTTGCATCTCAATGCTGCATAAAGCTCGGCATGTTAGAGGTGATGGATTTCCCTGCAACACAAACTGCACCAGGACGTCAAGAGTGTCCAGCTGTCAGTTAAGGGACAGTAACAGTAGGTTGAATTAAGGGCTCTGTGTCGCTGCAATGCAATAAGCATGCAAGTACTGCGCACATCTGCTGTGCTGTGTCGTAGCTGGTGATGTCATCTTAGTGTTTAGACGTCTGACGTGGTTTTCTCAGGGGCGGAGCATGTTAACTTCAGATGACACAGTAAACCACACAGGTGACAGATTTTCTGTTGTGTTTTTGACTTAGCAAATTAGCAAGTCTGCCATGATGATGGTAACCTTATCACTTACTGTACATGCTACACTGAATCAGGTCTTCACTGTACTTGCAGTAATTGTCAAACTAAGAAAAATGTTCATTAACGTCACATATTGTACATTAATAACAATCAAAAATCAGTATGTTACAACAAAATTCGACAAAACCAACCTAAAGAAAATGAATGACTGTGCATGATGGGAACCACAGCTGGAATATGTTTTTTTACCTAAAACATTCTTTGGCTGAAAAAAAATAAACGGGAAGGATTCGCTGTCCCAAATGCCACACCTCCCTAATCACCTCCATGTTGTACCTGTCCGTGCAGTTTTCACCAGTGACTCCAGCTTCCCTCTAAACTTCAAACTTCAGCTCTCTTATTTCCTTTCAGTGTGTAATGTTTCTCTCCAGACTGTGTGTGTGTGTGTGTTTGGTATAACCCTCGCGGTGACCCCCCTCCTCCTCCGTGTGTGTAATCCCGGTTGCAGGCTGTGTGAATGCACCGAGGCGGAGGCGGAGATCATCCTCCAGCTGAAGAACGAGTTGAGGGAGAAGGAGCTCAAGTTGACAGACATTCGCCTGGAGGCGCTCAGCTCCGCCCACCACCTCGACCAGATCCGAGAGGCCATGAACCGCATGCAGGTGAGGTTACACTGACCTGTGCAGGTCTATTTATGCATGACACATGTTAAACCGGAGCAGCATGAATAACTGTCCATTTGCCAGGGGATTCTGGTGGTAAAAAACAGAAGTCTACATTTTAAATTCAAATTGGCTTTTATTCTGAATTCTGTCTCGCCATCTGTCGTAGAGAAAAGGTTTGAAAAGTTTTCTTTTGACAAATTCTTAGGACATCAGAAATCTCACAGGGACAGAAATACCTTTTGTTGCACTGCAGATTCTTCTCCTGTGAAGGAGACAGGCAAACTTCACTCTGTCCAATTTATTCTGGCTAAAGTGCTGTGTGTGTCTCCCCTGAGGCGCTTAAGCATGACAGCTACCAGTTAGGAAGTTAACAATGCATTCAGTGGGTTAGTGAATGGCTGACAGGGCACCAGCGGGGCAACAGGAGGGCTGAGGGCAAACTAGCTGATGTAACACACACACAAACACACACACACATAAACACGGAGCCTCTTGGATCATATCAACGGTATACACCTAACGCTCTTGCAGGTTTGCTACTAACTTTTAGGTCCCTGATACTGTTGCAGGCTATTTATGATTATATTCTCAGTCAATTTTAACTCCAGCAGAGTTAGGGCTAGAACTGACTGACAGACTGACAACAGCAGAAAACAGTTGCCTTGCTCTGGCAGAACGTAACAAAATGAATGACAGCCCCTTGTTTGTGTAATTGTACAAAAACCTGAAGTGTAAATGATAATTTCTCAGTCATTTAATTTCCTTAACTGTTCATTAAAGGAGCTATTTGTATGATTAGCTGTTGCTACATAGCTAATGTTAGCATTAACAGCTGTTTACTCACCAATCTAGAAGAAACGTTGTGAGTTCAGCATCAAATTTCATTCCTTTATTCACAGACAGCTGTCTCCAGAGGTGGAAAGCAACGCCAATGTGAATTCTTGTCTCTATCACATTCTTCTACTGAAGCTAGCACGCTAACCAGCTAGCCCCAGCCTCTCGTCACTTTCCGATAGCGAAAGCTACCTGCCCCCCTTGTTTTCACTCTTTGTGCTAAACTAAGCTAACAAATTTAGCATATGAGAAGGTTGTAAATTTTCTCATCGAGCAAGAAATCAAACAGCTATATTTCCTTTAAGCCTGAAAGTCTGAAAAAATTTCAAAGAGTAATTCATGATACTACAAAAAAAAACATTGGAGGAAAATAGGATAGTGTAGCTTGCTGGCTAGCACCATGAGCCAGCTGTATCAGCTCCAAAACAGGCAATTAATGATCGACTTGTCAGTCTCAGCTCTAAATGCCCTGTCAAGGTGAACACACTTCATAAAGGTTGAATGAAATGGTTTGATTCTCCATGCAGCTGATTAAAAGATATAAAACAAGGCTTTCTTAATGCAAATAAATGTATTTGGTTTATTTATTTCATATCTATTCATAAAGTGCAATAAAGCCACCCATCATTTCAGAGTGTAATCTTCAGAGATGCTGAGTCATTTCATATTCTTAAAAGAAGCAGGCGTTCAAAGAATATCACCATAAAAGTCTCACTTAAGTGGATCTTTGTGGCTGTGGATTGCCTCGTCTGTAGAAGCCTATAGTCTCCCCTCAGATCTGGGGATCATGTAAGGCTCCTTATCTGAGACTTAACCTTCAGTACAAAGGAAGCCTTGAAGATCAAAAAGCCGCTTACAGCCTATAATTCCAATAATACTGATTCAGGGTAACAGTGGCCAGCCCGAAAGCGGGAAAATGGCCGCTCATTGTGTGAGCAGCCCATTACTCAGTCTTTGAATGCACTTTCTGTTAGATTCTGTCTAATTTTCATCCTTCTCTCAATGACCAGAACGAGATTGAGATACTGAAAGCGGAGAACGATCGCCTCAAGTCCAGCGGCAACGCGACGCCGACGGCCACGCCCATCAAGACTGCCCGGCCGCCCTCGGAGACCTCCAGCACCTCCTCGTCCTCCTCGCGTCAGTCCTTGGGGCTGTCGCTCAATAACCTCAACATCACTGACACTATCATGTCAGGTGAGTTCAGTGTCAGCGCTGGTGTCTGCAGCACGTTGATCTGACGTGTCCGTGAAGATCAGTGTTCACAGTCCGTAGTTTGTTCTGAGAAGTGAGAGCAGTAAGTGTGGTGGTGGTGGAAGTGAGTGAACTGGATTATAAGTCTTCAACCAAAAATGGAACTACAGTATCTTAACTGGCCAATCAGGACTTAGTATTCAACAAAGCTCAAAGGACAAATTGGTTCTTTTTTCTTTCATAAAGGTAGCCTACGTTCAGCTATTGAGAATTAAACCTCCAACCATGGCGTTGTAAGTGCCGTGCTCTTCTGTTTAGTTAAGCCGTAGGACACAGTTTATGGTCTGCAGCAGCTCTCAGGGCAGAAGTTTTTTTCTGCGGCATCAAGTTGGATTAGCTCTCTCCGTACTCGCCCCAGTAAATGTGAGAGAATTGTGTTTGCGGAGAGAAGTGATCCGGAGGAGCTGCATGAAATGATGAAATAGCTGCTCTCTCGTCTGCGAGGGCTCGCAACACAGCACGAGCCTGTTGCACACACACAAACACACACACACACACACACACACATACACACACAAAAACACACACGTGAACATGTTGAAAATCTCTCCAGGCCTGCTCCGTTTGAGAAGTGAAAGAGTTTTGTCCCTCTCACCCGTCCTATAATTAACATAGAAGGCGCTGCTCTCTCCGAGGGCTCGGGCCCTCGTTAATTGATGGAGGGATGAGCCAAGAGCGGCGACGCGTGGGAAGACGAGTAGGCCAGCGGGCCGTTATCACCCCAACACAGAGCCCCCAGCTAAGGGAAGCCAGCCGAATACAAAGTACCCACTTCCCTCTCCCAAATGGAGCCTGGGAAACAGAATGAAGAGAGATTTATGGCTGGAGTTGTTAGTGGTGTGATTGTTGTCAAAGGTTAAAGGTGCAAAAGTCAAACTTGCCCAAAATAGAAAAACTCAACTTTATTCGCTGCAGTTTTATGTGCCGTGTGCTAGTAGTAGTCCCTAATAGTTAAAGCTGCTATAACTAATATTTTTATATGAACATTGGATCACATTATGACTTGTATGTGAAAGGGATCGCTTGTAGTGATGACCACCACAAGGAATTATCACCTGGCCCTTAGCCTCTTTCAGCTCATTGTTTTGGTTTTACAACCCACAACTTTACTGTTTTGGTTTAGTCTCACTGCTCTCTTGGGGTAGTTTTTGGCTGCAACAGGCAGAACCGCTCAGTACACAACCTGCCCAGCACCAAAGAGCAAACAGACAAATTTAGCAACTAACTGGTGAATGAAACAGCATTTAGCAGCTCAAGAGTTTTTTCTCAGATGCTGGTGGAGACCAAAAACGGAGCTAAAAGGAGATGTTGAAATGTTGCTCTGTGTAAATAAGAAACTGTTTGCTACCACATTATTCTTATCATTATAACCTTGAAAGGTTATAATATGTCAGAGTTGTGTTTGCAGTTGGTTTCCACTTTCAATAAATGCCCAAAAACTCAAAAAAAGTAACATTGATGCTGATTTATCTGTCATTCAGGTCATAAAGGTGAACAGAGTCAAAATCCTCAAACTTAAAAAACCAGGCCTCCATTTCTTTGAGCTTTTGAGATGTTAACACAGCAATGAAAACAATGAACTGGAAGAAGTCCAGCTAGTCTAATGAGACTTAAGACCAGTCGCACATGTCACACATTGATGGTACATCTGTGCAAATTTAACCAGTTTGATGAGAAAGCCTGTGTACAGCACAGAATGTAAAACCCATGTGACATTTTTATTTATCTCTGTGGAGAGTATGATGGACTAATTCTGGTTTCTCATGCCCACTCAACACTTGGGTTTCCCGAAACTGACAGCCAGAGAAATATTTCTGTTGTTGCTGGTGGAGATTGGCACAAATATAAAATGTGTTGGTCTTCTGATTTCTACTGAGTAGTTAAAATATTTGGCTTTCTGCTGATGTAATGCAAAGTTACTGTCTTTTACTTCCTGACATACAATGTCAGCTTGATAAAAATCTGCTTGTGGACTTTCAACTTCTCAACAAATACCTCAAAGAAACTTCTTCCTATTAAAGATCTTCCATTTCAACTTCTTTGTCTCTCCTTATACTCGATTTCATTTCCTCACACACAGTTGTTCTTCTATTATCATTCAGCACACTCACTAGAAATCGCTCTGTATGAGAACATTGATTAAATGTAAAAGTAATTACCACATGAAAGAAACCCATTAGATATCTTTTACTTTGGAGTCTGTTTGTCCATTTCCAGCTATAATTTGCCAGCAGGCAGAAAGAGAGTGTTTATAATGGATCAAGGCTCTGACAGATTAAAGTTGGCCGTGTTTCCTTACAGAAAGTTTTGTTTTCAGATATTCTGCTCGACGACAGCTATGAGGGCAATCTGCGCAAAGAAGGCCGGAGCGTGCGAATAGTGGTGACCATCAGCAGTGGGCCAAATACCACTAAGGTTAGTGGATGATTTCACTTATTTTCTCTTTTCCTTCAGCTAAAACCACTGGAATCCTGTTTGACTCCTGTGTTTTTCTTACTTTGACGACTCCTCAGGGTACACACTGCCAGGAGTATCTGATTGGCTCCATAGGCGTGAGTGGAAAAACCAAATGGGACGTCCTGGATGGGGTCATCAGACGCCTCTTCAAGGTAAACAATAAAGGACTTTGCTCAAAGCTGCAGGTCAGTCATTTAGGTACTTATTAGGTTCTTACAGCAGACATTTTGACTTGTTATAGCAGGAAAAGCACAGCTGTTCCTAATAGTTTTAATGACTTTTCCATTTAGTTGTATTAGAGATGAAAATCAAGTGTTTAACCTTGTTAACATCCATATGATGTTTTTATATAAAACAGACATATGATGAGTGAAATAATCAGTCAACACCATGACTGATTTCCACCTTGACCTGCAGTGAACCAAATACAGTCTCATAACAACAGATTCAGACAGCCAGGGTTTCATATGTCACAAACCTAAGGAACCAATCCTGTCAACTTGTGGGGCAGGGCTAAATAAACCTGGAACCTCGTCAGTACAGAGACAGAGAGTTAGCATTAGCACAACTGATAACACTGTGCCAGTTACAAGCTAGCATACAACATAAACAAATAAAAGATGCTAACTATGCTAACTATTCTGATCTGTCTGCTAGTCTCTGGTTCTGGTCTCAACAGACTCCTCATCTGAGTCTGGGTCTGACTGAGGCTCAAACATGTTTCCTCCTCTGACCATCTTGATACTACTCTGCTTTCACTTGCCTGGAATTAAATTTCATATACTACACCCTACCTATGGATGACGGCATATTTATTTCTCTTTAAAATAACTTCTCTGATGTTAAACTACTGGTGCTGAAAACAAGGTCAAAGCACAGAACTTCATCGTATCACCATTATGTCTGATTTATTGTGTAAGATTCACAGACAGACAAAGCAAGATCCACAATCAATATGGCAAGTGATTGTAGATGTTGTTGCACAACAAGAGAGAGCGCAACATATTTTTAAGCATCAATACTGCAGTTCTTCATTTTTCACTGTCCTCTCTCGCCCCTCCCTCCCTCCTTCCCTCCTTCCCTCCCTCCCTCCCTCCCCACAGGAGTACGTGTTTCGGGTGGACCCTCTGACCAGCCTGGGTCTCAACTCAGACAGCATTGTCTGCTACAGGATGGGCGAGGTGGTTCGCGCCCACGCCTCCGAAGTGCCTGAGCTGCTGCCCTGCGGCTACCTGGTGGGCGACAACAACGTCATCAAGGTCAACCTCAAAGGTACGGCAGCAAGGAAGCAACGACTTTCTATTCCAGGATCACAGCAGCTGCTGAAACCAGGTTCAGGTTCTAAAGGAAAGGGTTTGATACTGGAGAAATTTATGATTCTTACGCATTATAAACGTTTATATTATTTCCTAGAACCTTATATAACAATATAAAACCTTACTACATTCATTTTCCCTCACAAATCAATCTCTTTCCTTCCCTCCTCTTCCCAGGAGTGAAGGAGAACAGCATAGACAGTCTGGTGTTTGACACACTCATCCCGAAGCCCATCATCCAGCGGTACCTGAACCTGTTGATGGAGCACCGTCGCATCATCTTGTCGGGACCCAGCGGCACAGGCAAATCCTTCCTGGCTGCAAAGCTGGCCGAGTACATCATTTCCCAGATGGGGCAGGAGGTGACCGAGCACAACGTGGCCAGCTTCAACGTGGACCAGAACTCCAGCAAGGTAGAGAGAACAGACAGGTTTTATGTTGTTGTGAAGGAATTAGGATCTTGGTGCATTGCAGTTTAAAGTTAAAATCATTTTGGGTTCACTTTTGCCTTCTCCTCTTCCGCTTGTGATTCCTACATTTCCCAGAACGCAACTTAATTTACTCCTTTACTTGTGAAAAGTGAAGGGTACACCAGACGCTGATTGGTTTTCTACCAAACAGGATTTGTGTATCACATGCAAATATGAACAGATCTTCCGAGATGTCTCAGCTGGTTGCATTGCATTGCTACTGTGCGTGTACAAATTGGTCTCTCTGCCCCCTCTGCCTTAGATTTCTCCCTGTATCATTATTGAATGCTGGAACAAAATTGCATCTCTAGAAAAAAAAAAAAAAAAACTGTGTGCTTTGATTCTGAGGGACTGATTTTTACAACCTGATATTTTTCTCTGAGGTTTTTAATCATTCTTGGGTGTGAGGAAAATACACCAGCATTGAAATAATGGGCCTCAGAATGTGAGATTGATCACCACTAGCTGTTTTTGATAACAGCAGTGGAAAACATTGTAATTTTTTTGTCCACAGAGAGAAAAGCTTGAACAGGAGTTAAATGTCAAATGTTGCCTGTTCAGTTTGAGGACTGTGATTTGCTGTAAACGTCAATTCATTCTTTCAGTTGTTTTTAGTTTGCATTTAAATAACTATAGGGACTAAAATCACAATGCTTCCTGTGAACTATTATTTACCAGACCTACAGTTCAAAATGTTGCATCCAAATCAGTGGGCACACATTAAGAACTAATGCTAATTCTTCCCTCCCCAGGATCTGCGTCAGTACCTGTCCAACCTGGCAGAGCAGTGTAACTCTGAGGAGACGGACACAGAGCTCCCCACTGTGGTCATCCTGGACAACCTCCACCATATCGGCTCCCTCAGTGACATATTCAACGGCTTCCTCAACTGCAAGTACCACAAATGGTGAGTCACAGCTCGTCCTCTCTTCCTAGCCAGGCTGATTGAAGTGCCCGGTTCTACTGTTGGTAGTCAACTCCGGTCAGTTTTATTTCTATAGGTCAAAATCCTAAATCACAAATCTGAAAAAAGAAAAACCCAGAAAAGTGCTTCTGCTGTGAGCGAGCAGGCAGTGATTCAGAAGGAAGCGAGGCTGGTGTCTAGCAGCAACATGATGCAGCAGTTATTAAGTGGAAGTATCAGTCAGTAATTATGTGTTTTGTTGTCTCCGTCTCCTTTAGTCCGTATGTTATTGGGACCATGAACCAGGGAGTTTCCTCCTCCCCTAACCTTGAGCTACACCACAACTTCAGGTTTGTGACAACCTTGGCTTCCACTGGAACAGCACTCTTTAAACTCAAAAGATTGTGATATTTGTGGTTTATATTGTGGTTAAAGTACTCAATGTGTTGTGATGTTATATTGTCTAAGGACTGTGATGTGCGCAAATGTTATTGGTTCCACAAAGCTATTAGCTTTAGCTTTATTTGCCTTGCATCATCTCACCTTGATTTTAATTGTCAATCAGCACATTATTTCACAGCTTGTAAACTAAAAGCATTCTTCCACAGGGAGTGCTGTAATTATGTGTCTTGGATAATTAGACTTAAATGAAAATGAATAGACTACAGTGCATGTTCTCAGTGTTGGATCATTTCTGCTTGGCATGTTTGACAAGCTGATGATTTGGCAAACATGAAGTCATTAGGGGAAGCTTATCATGAGCCAAACATTAATTTAATGTTAATCCATTTTAGTTGATACTGCTGGTAGAAAAATCTGAGACAACACAAGTCTCATCATCTGTAACTCGCTGCTTTGATGGTCCGTCCTGTCGTAGGTGGGTGCTGTGCACCAACCACACTGAGCCGGTCAAAGGATTCCTGGGCCGTTTCCTGCGGCGGAAGCTGATAGAGACGGAGATCGATAAGAACATGCGCAGCAATGACCTGATTAAGATCATCGACTGGATCCCCAAGACCTGGCAACATCTCAACGGCTTCCTGGAGGCACACAGCTCCTCTGATGTCACCATAGGTCAGTACACGCACACGCACACACACACACACACACACACACAGTTTCTGTTCAACCAATGCTAAAGCCTGTGTGGGGTCTTTCTACAGAACACACATTAATATTCAGTCTTTCCATCTTCCATCGAACAAACGCTCATCATCTTTTGTCCCTTCAGGCCCCCGTCTCTTCCTGTCCTGCCCCATGGACGTCGAAGGCTCTCGGGTTTGGTTCACTGACCTGTGGAACTACTCTCTGGTGCCCTACCTGCTGGAGGCCGTGAGGGAAGGGCTTCAGGTACGTCCTATAATACTTCAAATGAACTCTGTGGATCATCAGAATAAGATCTATTAGAAGTACATGATTTTAAAGGATTTTCCATTAAACAAAAAATGAATGACTCCCCGCATCATCAAAAAAAAAAAACCATGTAGGGCTCACCTTCAACCATACCTCTCCGACAGCTGTATGGCAAAAGAGCGGCATGGGAAGATCCGTCAAAGTGGGTGAACGACACGTATCCATGGAACGCCGCCGCGCTGCAGCAGGACGGTCAGTCGCTGCTCCAGCTGAGGCCAGAGGATGTGGGATACGACGGCTACAGCTCATCCAAGGAGGGAGCCTCGTCCAAGCAAGTGTCTCAGAGCGACACTGAGGGAGACCCCCTGGTGAGGAAGACATTAGACACTGCTAGTCATTCATCTGTGCTGTTAAGGAGCCTCCTATGGAGAGTTTAGTTTATTTAGAGCATTTAAGACAAACAGAGACTCAAAAAAATACCAAGTTAAAGCAAGATTTAATTAAAAGAGCGGCAGTGATAAATATTTGTCCCTCACATATGAACCATCACCCAGATGAAATGATTTAATTCAGTAAATCTAATGTCTATAATGCATGGTGCAGATTCATAAAGTCACTCAGTTCAAGGTTGCTATAGAAACCTGTGACATATGTTACCTTGGCGTTTGCAAGGTGAAGTAAAGAAGCTGCTAAAGTCACTCACACACACACATACACACACACACACACACACACACACACACACACACACACACACTGAACTATTGAGTGAGAGCAGAGAGAAAAGAAGGCAAATAGGCGGAGAGAGATAGAATTAATTTCCATTTGGTAGGTTATTGCAGCCCAAGAGGAATTAAAGGGTAGTCATCCAAAAACAACCGGCTTGATTTAGCAAGTGTGAGTGTGCCTGTGTTTGTGCTTTTGTGTGTGCGCTTTTGTGTGTGTGTGCGTGCGTGTGTGTGTCCAGTTTGAGCACAGGTGTTCCAAGACTCATTTTAGGAACACTTGAGGCAATTCACCAGATGCAGCAGCACTGCTGCATTATTTAGACCATTAGCTCTGTTACAGGGATAAGAAGTTCTGCTGTTTTATTATGGTGATTTACCATAAGCTTTTATAGCTCACACACACACACACACACACACACACATATGCACACACACACACACATACACACACACACACACACACACACACACACATATGCACACACACACACACATACACACACACAAAACAGAAGACAGTTTATGAGTAGGGCTTGACAATTAAACAAAATATTATCTAAATTACAATATGGAAAAGTGCAACATACAAGTCACAAATCACCCCATGAAAAATCACATCATTATCAGTTTTATATTTTTATATTTTTATATTTTAGCAAAAATGATTATTCCCACTAAAGTCGTGACTCACCACAATCACAATATCACAATATGATTTTTTTTTTTGCCTATCATTCAACCCTATTTGTGAGTCATTACATTGTTGTGTGTTGTTAGTAGGTGTAATAAGTACAATGGCGTCTTAGAGATAGCACTTCCTCGCACTTTGAAAGCCAAGCATCAGTTCTTTACTAGAAGAGGGAAAATACAGTGAAGAGTGTAAACATCACATTCAGTGTTTGACACTGTCACAAATGTGGTCATTCTGCTTTAGGTCGTAGGCGGTGTTGTACTGGAGTGCATTATACTGAAACGTGTTTCTAATATTTTGTATCTATGTGTATGTAGATTGGTGAGTGTAAGGCTATAGCCAACAGCCAGTTAGCTTAGCTTAGCACCAAGACTGGAAACGGGGAAATAGCTAGCTGGGTTCTGTCTAAAAGTAACAAAATCTGTCCACCAGCACCTGTGAAGCTAATTAACACTAGATATACTGTATCTCGTTTGTTTAATCTGTATAAAACCAGAGTGTAAAAATGACAGTTTGCTTTTTTAAAGGGGTGTAGGTGCTTGATTATTTGTTGTAACTACCTAGAGTCACTCAGGTTTGTAACCACTGCCCTCGATAAACCATATACAAGAATGCAGTAAACAGCAGTTGTCACTCAGGTTTAGATGAAAGGAAATGGGGCTGTAAATGTAATCAAACTCTAAGCAACACTTTACTGTGTCTGTGTCATGCTTGCCTTTAGTTTTCCAGCCGCAGTCTCTGTTAAACTGTTTGCCGTGTTGTGTTTGCAGATGAATATGCTGCTGCGGCTGCAGGAGGCAGCGAACTACTCCAGCACACAGAGCTGCGACAGCGACAGCACCAGTCACCATGACGACCAGCTGGACTCTTCACTGGAGTCGGCACTATGAGAGCGAGAGCTGCGCTGGGAGACACCGGAACCCTTGGATCCCTTGAACCTGGGAACATTTTAACCTCCATCACTAACAGACACCAACCCTAGTCCTGCACAGATGTATGATCTATGAAAAGTTTTATTATCTAAAATGATATACACACCATTTAAAATCAAACACCTATTTTTACATAATGATGGTGCAATATTAAATCAAATTATTCTAAATTTTAAAGAGCAGTCACCAACCTGATCGAAAAAATCACACAGGTTGGATCGTTTCTATTTTACTGAAATCAAACAGTGACGTTAGCTGGTCATTTGTAATGGGTGTATAACATTTTAAGAATACAACTTTTCAATACACTATATGTGTGGACGGGATGTGTCTGAAGTTGACTTCCAAGGAGTAAATCACAGTTCCTGCTCAGCCATGATGAGCCACAGTTTACTCCATCCATCTAACAGTGTGTCAGCAAAATGTAAGAAAGCCAAGAGTGACAAAACTGGATTTTAGTTTTTTTAAAAACCCAGTTATATCTTCAGATGTTTACAATGGGGGGGCATGTTCTGTTGTTTATGTCTTTCCTTGTTTACAGAGGTGCTTCACACACACACACACACACACACACACACACACACACACACACACACACACACACACACACACACACACACACACACACAGGCACACACTCATATAAATGCACTTACACACAGGCAGCAGAAGGAGACTTTCTTTTAATCAGAGGCTTCAATCAGTTCAAGCCCTCATCTTGACCAACAGTCCAGCCTGCCAAAGTGTCCTTGAGCAAGGCACTGTATCTCTACCACCTCTGGGATACCTGATGTCCAACCCCACATACTGAGGGAGGCAAGGAGGAGGAGAGCACTGTGGAGTGTTTTGAGGCGATGGAACACCCTCTGGTGGCTGTAATTGGAGGTTCTTAGCTCTTAGAAAACAGTGGCCGTGAACCACTGATTGTTGATCTTCACATACAAATTGGGATTCATCACAGATGCATCAGACTGATTTTGTGTTTAAATAATGTTAGTTAAAGTAAAAAAAACAGCTGTTTGTTGTGGTTAGCTGAACTGGCTCCTCAAAGGTTACAGCTCTGGTAAGGTTTAGGGCTAAAGGACACTTTTTTGACCAGTTGTTTACCACTAAATCACCTTTTTGTGTCTTTACTTTTTCTAAATATAAGTTGTGTACAGGCAATTCTGCACCTCCATGATGGCACCAGAAGTGGTTGATGTGAGACTTTTGCAAAGCCTCTACAGCCCAATTAGGATCACAAGACTAACATTATCATTGTGTACCAACACACACACACACACACACACACACACACACACACACACACACACACACACACACACACCCCTCCTGCCCTCAGCTCAGTCGTCAATGAGCCTCGTGGTGCTGGTCTCTTGCCCTGAACCTCGTCAGTGTCAGGCACTGCCAAGCCGCTCCTCGCCGGTCTGCATGCCAACAAGCACAATGAAAGCGCATTGTCTGTGTGTCATCCAGCCACATTGCTACTGTGAAGAAAAAATGGACAAGTGCCAATGTTTTCCTTTGATTTACTGCCAAATGTGCACACACACAACCATACGCATACACACAGACGTCCCATCACAATGCAGAGCTGACCATGGTTGTAGACTTAGATTAAGTTGTTTTTGGCTTTCCTCACTCTGAAGCATGCTGTCACTCGTTAGCTTTAAATGCACCATGAGAAGAGCAGGCGGCGCCCTCTTTGGATCATCACCGAACTGTATCAGTTAATCATTCGCTAAGCTCCTCCTCCGAACAATGATTGTCCAATCATGTTTGTCGAGCTTTGGATTCCTCCACCTGTCTAAGCAGTGTACATGCAGCTGTTGTAACAGATATACAACATTTAAAAAGTTGTAGGAAAGAGTAAGAATAGCTCAAACAGTGATAACTTCACAGATTTGTAAAATTCTGTCTGTGAGTATTATAACCCACTGTGTTGTGCTTTGGCATCTAATAAGTGTTTAAACACATAAATCCGTCCCTCCAAATGGACCTCCCGGCTCATATTCCATTGTCACACCTCCGCAAACGCACCCGCCTGCGCAGGGATTTAGCATTATGCAGCTCTGTCCTGCTCCATTCTTGAATTTAGGAAAGTTACACTCCAGAAACTCCAGCCAACATTACCTGAGATAGCATTGGCCAAACACATTGATTAATCCTCATCCTCAAAGCCCTGTCTCCTGTTGTAACATTAAAAGTGGAAACACACTGAAGTTAACTTATAGCTTTAGCCTCAGTCCTTTAGCACAATATAATATATAATCAAGTGCATATTTAAGACCAATTTTACAAGACTATCATTTTAAAATTAAGCAGCTGGAAACATGAAAATCAGCCAGAGATGTGGAGCTAACATTAGCTTAATTAGCTAGCTAGCTGCAGCTGAATTTCAAGTGGCAAATGTGCTATCTTTATCATCTTTATCATTGCAGAGGTGCAAAAATGGAAAGCTTGACAAGCATAGCAAGAGTAGCTAAGGGGGGTGGGTCTGAGCAAATGGCTGATTGCGAATAACTGAATTCCTGTGGCAACCTGCAGGTAGAGTTGGCTGCAACAGGGAAATTCAAAGTAACAGGAAAGCAGCAAACTGACTGAATGTTTCCACTCCAACAGATATAAATCAGAGCTATGGCACTGTTTGATCAATCAACAAAATATCGGTTGTACTGAATTGAATGTTTCAAGCTGTCTTGTTTGAAACTTGCCGTCACTCATGTGATGGTCTTGTTCGGCTTCTGCAGCCCTCTGGGATCCATGAGGTACCAAAAAAGAATCAGAAGTATTTTCAAATGCAAGTTAACCAGATCAGCCCAAGAGCTGAGTAAGGGAACAACGATACTGGTGCTTTCTCGCTGCCTTAAATGTGCAAAAGTTGGGGAGACATCTCCTTCTCCCATTGGCTATAGTGAGAAAAAGTTGGATGATGATGATGATGATTTGCTTCCCGCTACGTCAGAGATGCTGCTTGTAGTCGGAAAAACAGCCTCTTTTTGTTTGTGGTCGCTCCCTCTTCCTCCAAACCGCCCTTTCTTGTTTCTGACAGTTGAATTATAAAAGAATTGATGCTGTGTTTGAATTTAAAAACTGACCAATATTGTAAAAACATTTTAAAAAGGGGGTGGGGTATTTTTTAAGTTGTTATTTTGCGCCCAGTTGAGCTGGGCCCACTTGAACAGACAGGAGCACAACCAAACTGTTTTGGGTTTTCTAGCCTGATGAGCATGTTTTGAGGCTTTTTAAAGGGGATGCATTGAGAAGAGACCTTTATCTTTATGTATGCGTGTATTGGACGGAAGCCATTTTGAATTTTGATTGTCCTCTCTTTGTTTAACGAGTGGGTTGGTTTTGCACACTTTGAGGTGGGGGTGGGTTGTAAATACTTAAGTCTTGCACAGTGAATCAAAGATGCATTCTGCCCTGTTGATGTTACAATATGCTTAACCCGCTGAGTAAATTATTGTACTATGAGAACAGAGAAAAAAAAAAGAAATGCAAAAACTCAACACGCTGTCAGAAACAGGTGTGTGTCTTGTGGTGATTGGATGTTTTGCCTATGCAGGAGGCATACGGTGTACAGTAGGAAACTGTTTTTTAACTCACTGACATCACAGACTGAGAACAAAAAATAGGCACTTTTCCAGTCCCCCCCCGCCCGCCCCCTCCTATCCTGCCATAATATTCTCTGGATCCTCTCTGTCTTTAGGAATGCCTGTTGTTCCTTAGAAGCACTTCCTCTCTGGACATTTTAACCCACGCTTACCGCCACGTTAGGCTTGCCGGCTGTCTGAGGCACTGAAGCTGACCCGACACCGTACTGTATACATTTACCAACAACCAACAGGTGCTACTAGTCAGTCAGAGCCCATCAGAGACCAACAAGTCACATTGTCACAACCTCAGGACAATCCTACCCTCTACAATCCTACCTGTGTTCAGCTTCACGTGTCTCTGCAGCCGAGCCTCTGATGGTTCGCACATGTATCTGGCCAACTTTGCCAGCCTTGTGTCTGCAAGGGTGTGTAGTTGCATGCTAAGGGAGTAGTTACCATGGTAACAGGTTGCTCCTTAACTTGACTTACACCCATGTATCAAACCTGAGCTTAGATATCCCACATTTAACCCTCTCAGCTACTCTACACTCCTGTTGTAGGCCATTAGTTCCCGAGCTAGCAGAACGTTGACACCGTTAACAGTGTACACCATAGTGCTGATGATCAACTGGTAATTTTTCCCACTTACGCTTTGCAGTTACATCTCAGTTGAAAACCATAGCATTTACTCTGGTTTGAGAGAAAGTTTTCTTCTTTTTTGGGTGAAACATTTGTCCTTAAATGTTTTATATTTTGTACATTTGTATGTAACATATCATGTAAATAGACAGAGACAGTGATTTAACTCATCTGGAGGATTTTGTAGTCTTTGTAAAGCCCTAATAAATGGTATTTGGTGTCACACGAGCAAACAACATGCTGAGTTTTTGTCTTTTGTGTCCAGTTGTGTGGTCTGTTTATGGTGTGGAGTAGTAGTAGAAGTAGTAAGTAACTTCATAAATGAATTAAAAAATAAATAAATAAAGTGAATATGGAGTGTCAACATGTTACAGTGTCCCTGTGCTTTGAGATGACAAATCAAACCTTATATGTCTACTTTCTATTGTTAAACAGGACACTAAACATTAGTGAGTGCAATAGAGATGGGCCCAGGTGATAATATTTTAGCCAAAGTGAGTGTTACATTCTGGATGTTCTCTCTTTTTAAGCCTCCAGTTTATGTGCTGGTGACACCATTTGACTCCTTAGTGTCTATGGAGAAACTTCTTAGTTTGAAGGCACTGAATCTGGAGCTTGGTCTGTCAGAATGTAGCAATTAATTATCAATTTAAGTGTCACAGAAATATCTGAAAATTTAGCAGCAGTTTAAAATATAGCTAATAATGTAATATCTTAAATGAGTGACATTAGTTGTTTGCCTGTAAATTGTCTTTTCTCCAAATGACAGGGTTTGAAAAAAAGAAATTCTCATTTACAAGAAACTCTTATTTTCCCCTACTTTTTCTTTGCATGCACCTTGTTTAATACCACTAGTAAGTTAGCAACAAATACAGGAATAGTGTAATTTGTAGAAAATAAACATTGGTAATATCTCAGTTGCAATCTTTATTTTATTTACTTGCATATTAATGACATCAGGTACATTAATGATAACACTAAATAGAATCAAATTGTAAGATATGGTGACATTGTCATGTGTGGACGAACTGCTAGAGCCCAGAGTGTAACAAGTTTGTGGTGATGTGTTTCTGACCTCTAGTGTTTAAATACAAATTAATCAAAGACGTGATAAGCCGATATATACTCAGAATATGCAAAATAACACATTACAACATTACAGTTAATGTTGATTTAATTTAAAAAATCAAAGCCATACATTCAATGGACAGACAGTACAAGTAAAATGGAAGTAATTACAAACTAACTTAGTAATAGTGGTTTGCAAATTAGCACGTAATGGTTTTATTTTGAAGGACTACTTGACCGGTCGTGTGTTCTCTTCCGGGTAGCGCGCAGCTGCAGTCAAAGCAAAGATGGGACGCGGCGAAAGTCCTGTGACGGAGTCAGAGGAAGACCTTAAAATGTTTAAAACTAAAGGAGCTTCGGTGTCTTTACCGAAACACTCCTACTGGTTTGACTTCTGGCTGTTCGTGCTCTTTGACATCGTGTTTTTCCTCGTCATGTACTTCATAGTCCCATAAAAAGGTGAGTGGATGTTGGCGCAGAGCTAGCAGAGGGCGGCTACGGAAGTTTCTAAACTAATACGCTAGTTTTGTTAACGCCATGAGAAGTGATGATTAATTTAGGTGGCTCTATTTATTTGTCACTTTTTGATATGTCATTAATAGAATGTATTTCAGGTAAACACAAAGCCTAGAAGCTTTTATCCGTTAAATATACACCCTGACCACACAACCTGTGGGCTTGCCTGTTACAATATTTGTTATACACCAGAGGTCATCATAGTGGTGCCGTCAGTTACAGTGTAAATGTACGTTAAGCCCACAGATACCACAGGCTTTACTTATACACGCTGTATATATATATATATAGGTCATATGGGCAAACAGTATTCAAGCCCCTGCAGATTTTCATGTTACGTAATTGAACATAGTTGTGTGTAATGTATTTTTTTTGACACTGACCACATGTTGCCAATGTGACAACAGACTCAACAAACGGATCCAAAGTATGTTCAAATACAATTTAATTAATCAGACATTTAGCAGCAGTCACAGCATTTCGTCGACTTGGGCATGTCTGTATCAGGTCTGTGACCCAGGTTTTGTCTGGTTGAACTGGGACTGAGAGTGAAAAGCAATTTTTACGCCTTTCTAATTTTAAGCAAATAGGCCAAGCAAAACATTCAGTTTCATGTTATATCTCACATTTGAGAAGTTGGAACCACCAAATGTTTTGCCTGTTTGCTTCGAAATGACCTAATTTTATTACTTTATTTTCTGTCACTCCACTGATCTATTCATCAATTATTATATTCAGCTGTTATTCAGATTACCTTGGAAATGTTTACACAAACTTCCATTGATAAGAACTTTTAGATGACCTTGTTTGTTGTAGATTTGGGTGGAGTGTTCTTTCCTTCTTGCTTCTCAGCCCCACAACACACAGACACCCTGCCCTTATACAATACTTTAACCAGACATTTTCTCTAAACTTAATGTAGCTTATATCTATGTATTTGTTCTGTGCAGTTCTGCCAATTGTTTTTGCTGCTGTTTATGATGTTTAACATTTGTTTTGTATGTGATTATTTTTGTTAAAAGTTAGTCCCCTGGACTCTGGAGCCTGAGCTGAGCTGTGTTGGTCCCGCCCTGCTGTCAGGAATGATAACCAAGTCTTTCACTGAATTAACGCTGCGTTGTTTGATATACCATCTCAAGCTCCCACGACATGGACCATGGAACTGCAAGTTTTATGTACATGGCATACTGCTTTGATATCAGAGATTTGAACCACAGAACTCCGTCCTGCTGTGACCTGTTGCTAGTTGCTGAAGACTGTCTTTCTTCATGGTTGGATTAATTTTGTTGCCATGCGGAAGAGAAAGAAAATCAACTATTTTTATCATTGAAAAGTGGCAATGGCACCATTAGACATGTAAAATGTACCTGTAATATCACTAAAGTGCTATTAAGAGTATTATCCATATAAATGTTACCTAGTAGAGAAGGCCTTTTTTTGATGCAGTTGTTACTGTTAACAGAATTAATGGTGACATTAAGTAATTATACCACATTTTAGTTTCATGTTCAAATTGTCTAATCAACAACTATGTCCTGGAAAGAAAAGACCAATCTCACATGTGATGTGTATGTTTTGTCATAATAAGCCATCTGATGATCTGGTGTGGGGTCTGTTAAGACACCAGAGAAATGAGGTTACACTTGCGCACTTTAAAGAACAATGTGTTGTTGTGGAGTCTGATTCCAGCACACTAAAATGTTGACTGCAAATAAACTGTTTTCTACCTGCTAAATGGTGACAGTTTGATTTTTGGCATTATATAGTATTTGCAGGTCAACTGCTTTGTTGTGACATCACAAAGGTACAGAAGTCCTGAGTGCTTGTTTTAAGGCTCAGTTCCTGAATACAGTTCATGTGCCTTTCTCTTTGGACTGAGCGCTTTCACACTTTAACAATATTAATATAGAACCTAGGGGACACCTCGGTGGTTCACCTGGTAGAGCACACATCATTTATGCTTAGTCCTTACCACAGCGGCCAGGGATCGAGTCTGACCTGAGGCCCTTTGTGGTTTGTCATCCCCCAAAAAATGAAAAGAGAGATAGAATCCAGACCTGCTTTATACTCAAAAAAGACATGGAAATCTCACTTTATACATTATGGGACCTTTAAACAGCTGGACTTCTTTAGATGTTTCCAGGACCTTGTTCCAGGAATAGTTTATATCTGTTGATGGCAGGAGCTTCATTAAGAAGCAGAATATACCAGTATTTTCTTTGTTCTATCATCTCATATTGCTGAAAATCAATCACATTTTTCAATGCTATCTCCATGTTAACTCTGTATGAAGTGTCACTTCAGTCAGATGTTTGAATTTCTACAAGTCAAACTGCTGTAAACACAGATGCAACTGATGACATTGTTAAGTGCAGTGTTGCAGTTATTGGACCAGAGCCCTCGTTAGTGTCATTAGTAGCACCTGTGCTTGTAACAATGCTCAGTGAATCTGATTTATTTATTAACATTAGATGTAAAGTTTTCCTTGTGTACACAGGAGGCAGTTATTGTGCTCATGTCTGATGGGAAACAGGTGGTAGGTTCAGTGTCTTTCCTGCTCATTAACTGACCCAGAATCTGAGTGAACTCATTTACACTGATGAATGTGTCCTCAGGTTTGTAGAAAAGTGTAATCTTCATGTCACAGACAGCACAGCACACAACAGACTGTGAAGCTCTGTGACTGGATGTTTCTTACTGAAATCCAGCTTGAAGTTATGATGACATCATGATGACATCATGATCATCACCTCCTCTATAGGTGAAAATTGGTCATGTTGTGGCTGTGATGAACACTGCAGCCTCCATGAGACGATAGTAGGACTTGAGACTAAAAGTCATGTTGCAGCTCACTCTGTATTATCATGTAGGTGTCCAACAAACCAGCAGCACCACCACTATTTAAGTGTTCATGCTGAAGATAAGAAGAAGAAGTTTGTCTAATACAATTAAATTTAATGAAATAAAATTTGATGAAAAGGGAGGAATGGGGGTAGAGGGTATGGGGAGAAGGGGGAGGAAGAGGTGGAGGGTATGGGGAGGAGGGGGTGGAGAAAAGGGTGATAAAGGAGGAATGGGAAGGGGGGATGAAAGGAGAAGTGGGGAGAGACTAGAGATGGCTGCAGGTCCAGGTCCAGTTACTTGTTGGAGGAACAGCGGCCGAAAAGCCGCCGTATCCACAGAGGAACCTGTTTGGGCCGAGCCTCCTTCGCCTCATTCTCGTCCTTCTCTTTCCTCTTATTTTTCTGATCCTTTTGTTGTTAAAGTGATTAAAAGACAACACATCAGTACAGAAGTAACAATCAAAGGCTACAGTTTGACTAACGTTTTCAAGTCAAAGACAACTAGACTTGTTTGGTTCTGAAGAGCCTTTATCACTTCACCACTCAAAGTTTGAAACACAAGGATTCTTATGATTTCAGATCAGTTAGAGAATGAAAAGAAGGAAAGAAAGCAGGAGAGATGAGTCCTGAACAAACAAGAAATCCAGCTGCATTTGATCCATGACCAAGACTTCAGTCTTATCTCATTGGTTATAGTAAAATATATTCTTGTGTATTTCAATGTGATCTCAGTGATTTTAATCTCCATGTAAATGCATCCTTACCTTTGAAAGGATTTTGCAGAAAAAGCGGCAGAAGCCGTTTCTCCTCTTAGCCTCAGTCTCCTGGACACAGACACACTGGCTGAAGGTCTCCTCATCACCAGAGTCTTTGGACTGACACTGAGAGGAAGTGCTCGTGTCTTCATGGAGCTCAGGTGGAACTGAGTCGATGGCAGACAGAGAGGAGTCTGGTGACTTGTCCCCGTCCTCCGTGTAGTCCTCCAACTCCACTGGCGTGACCCTCAGGTCCGCTTTGCTGTTTTGATCACTCTGAGGTTCAGTGACATCTCCCACTGGGGCTGGCTGGATCTTTGACATCAGCCTTGCAATCAAACATCTCTTCAACAGAGAGTCCCTCCTCCTGGTGCTATGTCCTCTCGCTGCCTTCTCCTCTTTGTTGTTGGGCTCCAAACTTTGTCGTTTCTTAATCCTTCTCATGACGAGAGTACCTCGTCCTGTGAGGAAGGATTTCATTGTTGAAATAGCTCCTGCCAAACACTTCTCTCCTGCTCTGTCTTTGGACACTCGGCTGCTGGCAGGAGCAGCGGTGCTGGAGGATGCTTGTGTGGTCAGGACAGAGTTGACCTCACCCAGCACCTCAGTCACTGTGGCCTGTGTCAATTCAGGAGAGATCCTTGCAGGGATGTCCTCACCGATGACCTGACAAACAGCCTGACTCAAGGAGCTTTCCACACAACTTTGGATGTTGCAGTTGAAAAGCTTCATCAGGTGCTCTGAGGACATGGGGCCGGTCAGGTTGAAGGTGCCAGATGTGGAGGACGACTGTAAGATGGTTCTAGTGACAGAGTCTGAGATGTTCTTCAGCACGTCTGTACACATGTCAGTTAGCTGCTCCTTCACACCTCGGTTGTAAACACCTTCACTGACTTCTCTCCACTGTCTAAAAAACACAGAACAGAAACACAAGGTGAAGCACAGAAATAATCCACACAAACGTCTTAAATGTGTTCAAGTATCCACTGGAGTATCAGTGGGAGAACAGATGACCTACTCTTCAGTGAGACTTTCAAAGAATCTTCTTATTATAGAGGCGATGGTGGACGAATTCAGGACAGGTTGCTGTTCTGATGCTTCTGCATTTTCCTCCTGGGAAAATACACCCCTTCCATCCTCTTCAGAAGATCCTGGGGGCAAACAGATCTCCATGACGTGGTGTTCGTCAGCCTGTGGAGGGTCAGCAAACAGTTGCTCTAGACCAGAAGACTGTTGGTCCTCAGCTGGAGTCTTATCCTGCTCCTTCTGGCCCTTTTATTTAGAATTAAAAGAAAAACAATTAAAGTAAGTAAAAAGAGAAAAAAAACAAACCTCAAAAATTGACTCAACTGAACTCAAAGGTCATCCAACATAGAGTAACTTACTTCTTCCTCCTCAACCAGCTCCAGAGGGGTGGAGGTCAGGTCAAGTTCTGCAGAAGCTTCCGCTGAAACCTTTTTCACCCTCTTGGTCATCTTCTTACGAAAACTTCTTGTCCACGGTGATTTTATCTTTTTGAAGACTGGCTTACCTACTAGTTTGATTTTGCTGCCAGCTGCAGGTGCCAGTGTTCTGACAGACTTGGTGGACTGGAGTGTCTGGAGAGCCTCAGTGGTTGTTATGATGGAAGAAGAGGAAGCACACGAAGCTGGTCTATCGCTCTCTTCTGACCAGATGGAGGTGCTAGTAGAGTATCCTGTGTCACTTGACAGGAGCTCATCTCTGTCTCCAAAATACTCTTCCTCTTGGTTCTCTGGACCCACAAAGCTTTGACATGCTTTTCTAATCTCTTCGCTGAGATCCTGAGCCTCATACAGAATCTCATCAGAGATGTCTGAGTCGGTGTTGGACGGCCAAGAGTAGCATGTCATTATGCTCTCTTCAGACGGGGCTGGAGAGGAGCAGCGGTAGGTGACGTCTCCGTCCTCGACAACGCCCCCATGATGCTGAGCAATCACTTGCTGCACAGCAAGTGCAGCAGCCAGTTCGACCACGTCTGAGACAAGTGAGTTGATGATGTCATCAAAGTTGTCTTTTTCCTTGTCCATGGGTCTTGACATTATGTTCTAGTAGAGAAACATGTAAAGCAGTGCCAGAAGGAATATTCAGACCCTTGTCTCACATGAAGGTTAAAGAACCACAGGGTTTAAGTCCTGAAACAGAATTCTACTGAAGTAAAGTATTAGCTGTATAATGTACTCGGCACACAATGCTGATGTGACAATCAGTGTTGGGGTTGATTTTCATATTGAAAACTAGGGAACCATTTGGTCTCAATCCAACTTTAAACCTTCATTCTTTTTTTTCATATCAGCAGCAGGATTTCCATGTGATACATTCATTCTTTTCATATATTGTAAATATATAAAGTCTTACTTGCTGTATTGTTGGATTGTGTAGTATACAACCATGTTCCTACTGTTTTAGACACTTGCTTGAAGATTTTCTTTGTCAGTCTTTCGGTGCCCACGTTTTAATATCATATGTGCAATAGTTTTTGTTTCATTGTTTGCCTTTTTATTAAACCTTGTAATTTATCTTTTACCTAGATTCTTGGATGTAATATGATATAATGACAGTAAATTTTCATCTTTTTTCTGTGTAGAGCAGGACAGTCAAACAGATGCTGCCTCTCCTCAGTGAATTAACTCACTGAACCACAGAATTGTTTTTACTAACAAAATCTTCATCACCTTTTTAAAAAAACAATGTTTTTAAACTGTGCAGATTCATCTCTTAACTCTAAACTCACTTATTGCTGCTGTTTCACTAACATGCATTTAATGTATTTACCTGTCTGTGTGCAGACATCTTCAGGTGAGCCGGGTTGATGTGCCGTGCCTCTTCCTTTTCTTCCTTTCTTATTGCGCTCTGTGGTTTCAGCTTTTGTCAGTGTGATAATACGTTTGAAGCTCTGTACAGATAGTGTGACTGTTCACTGTGAGGAAAAAGCTGAAGTGAGACCTGTATCTGCAGAACGCGGTAATTGCTGCACTGTGAGGTCATACAACTCTGTGTTCTGATAGAACTGTCTGTGTTCTGATAGATAGTGTTCTGTTTCCTTTCTATTTTTGAAGCCTATTATAGATAAATATATTATTATATATTTAATATATTTTCTCTGCCTCTTTATCTGTTTTTTTCTAATTGAAATTAAAGTTTTACTATTTAAAAGTCAAGTCAACTGAAAATGTACAGTTTGTATAAAATGTCTAATTACTTGAAGTTTTCTGACTTGAAATAAGTTGAATGAATGAAATGAATTGAATTCAATCAGTTTCCGAAAGACACATGATCAGCACGTCATCAGGATGTTGTGGGTCCAACAGATTTATTTGTATGTGGAGACTGAGCATGTGTCATGTTAATAATGTAATTGACATTTCATTAGAAACTTTGCTGACCCTGTGACCTTACTCTTGTGTCACTCACATACTGAAGTGTCCTCTTTGTACTAAACAGTTTTCAAAATTGCCATGAAATTTCACGATATCATTTCTGCTCTTCAGAGGATGAACTCTTTTTAATGAACTCTCCTTTAGCGCCACCCTGTGGATGAATATCACAGTTTTAGCTCCTCTGCTGGAAAAGCTCTATGAAAAGCAAAATTAGCAGAAAGCTGTAATTTATGTGTTGACTTCTGATGTTTCATGTGACTCTGGATGCAGTTTTTCTTCTCTTCCAGAGTGAGGCAGCAGCTCTTCTCTGTTATTCAACAACTGCCAACAACTTTTCGTGCCTCTATGAAAGTCCATATGTACATACACAGTACCTATGCACATCACTGGGTACTTTTAATTTGAAAACAACGCACACGTGTTTCCGCTTTGCAAGAAGCTAACAACAAATGGCTTGTAGCATGTGGTAGTTCAGTGACTTTTAAAAGTGTCTTTCTATTGCCTTAATGATGGAAAAGACTGTCCGTTCCTATCAGATGGAAAACACAGGTCCGTTTCACCGGCGTGTTTCATGATTCAACTGCAGCTAACAGCGAACTAGCTTTCTTGCGTAGAGTCGTTAGCACATAGCCCGTAGCTAACAGCAGTGATTGTAGCTAACTTACCCAAAGTAAGCACAGCTAAACGTTGAGTTAAGGCAACATGTACTGTATTTAAGCATTATTCTTCAGTAAACTGAATTATCATGTCATTTCTGATTCTGACAAGAAACCAGAATGTTTGCTTAAGCTGCATGTCCCACTGTTTGGTTAAGTGGATAACTAAGCTAAATCATCTCCCAGGGTAAAGGAGCTGAGGAGCAAAGCAGAGTCTTATTGTTAATCTATGATGTGTGAGAGGAATTTCTTGGTGCAGTGGTTTATGTCTCTTGACATGTACAGTGTCTCACTGTATATGTATATTATGTATGCCTTATATCTTGTGCGAGCAAAGTAGACAAAGACTAAAAAAAAAAAATGCAAGATACTAAAACGGAAAACGAGATGAGGCTAAACACAAAACATTGCTGCAAAGAGAGCTGTTGTAAATCCTCACTACAGTTTTCAGTTCTGAGATGCACTAAGTCTGATGTTTGTGAGTTTTGTTATTTGCATCAGTTTTAGTTTCCTGCACTAGTTTATTTTTTCAAAGACCTCTGACAGCTCACAAGCTCTCACTGCTGTTTGCTGTGTAATTTGCTTATTTTTTATTAGGGCAGTTTCCTGATCAATCTTAAAAAAAAAAAAAAAAAAAAAAAAAGGAAAATAAGTCATAACATCTGAAACAAAAGGTTCACTGATTGACCTCACCTCCTTAACATTCAAGCCAAGTTCATACTTCACCCTAAATTGTCACCACACACCTCACCCACATGTTTATATTGGCAGCCTGCACTCATCTGAGTTAGGTTCTACCTCTCATGTACACTTATGGCACATCACAAGAGGACACTTGTCACTTCACATACACATGTCATGACCCTGTCCACCCCATGTCTGTGTTTGTACAGATGTATTCCTGCCACTGTCATCGCTGAGGCTGCTGATCCCCCCTCTGCGGCTGCTCTCTGCAGCCATGTGGCAGGTGGCTCAGCGGAGAGACGTTCTTGATTATGAAAAGCTGGATGAGTTTGTGTCATTGGTGACGGCCACAGTTCCAGACCTGCTCAGTCCAACGCAGCGAGGCAAACTGCTCCTCCGACTGCGATCGAAAGTGAGTCAGCGGGTTTCAGATGAGTGAAAAATGTTAATAATCATACAATAATGCCATACTTTATGGATATGCTTCATTCTGAAGGGACTCCTTTGTCTTCTTTCTCCTCAGATTATTCTTGAGCTGTGCAAAAATGAGGAAACGGCCAACATTGTGTGTATACAGCCTCACCTAGAACGAATCCGCCCACCAGGGTACACAGGGGTAAGTGAGTGCAGTGTTTTCACAATGGCCTTATTACAGTTCCCCCAAAACAGGGGACAACATGTCAGTGCTCTTTAACATTGTCACATATACCACACAGTGGCACATTGATATGCTTACACTGTGTGAGATGGTCTCAGTAACAAAGACAGTGTATTTCAGAGTGGAGATGCAGAGGTGGATGCAGAGGAGGCTATTTTCATGGAGCTGATCCAAACACTACTGAAAGACCCCGCAGAGAGGGAGCATTTCTACCAGGCAAGACAGCTTCACATGGAGCCCAACTGAAAGATTTTTTTTTTTTTTGTTGTGTACTTCATTGTTTTCTGTAGTTATGCTCCGCTCCACAGTTGGATTTTTGAGTAACTGTCACCTTTGTCTTTCCTAGGAGGTTTTTCCAACAGAATATGGTCTCAGCTACGACACAGACATGCAGCTCCTTGTGTGGGAGTTTCTTTCCAAACTGGAGAAGCTCCTGCCAGTGCCAGACCTCGGCCAGGTAGGATATGACTGCACAAACACTACAGCAGCTGCAACTGGACACACACACTGAATCATCATTGTAAAAAACACTAGTAATGACAAATTTAAAAAAAAAAAAAAAAAAAAATGATATAAGTATCTGCCTCAAAAATCCAGTAGTAGTCAGGCTATAGTTACTAATAGATCTTTTTTTTATTCCTTACTAATATAAATCCCACCTGTGAAATAAGCTCTGTTTCATCCTCTTAGCTGACTGTATGATCACACTTGGATACAGAGTTAACTTGTGATTCCTCCATGAACAGACAGTGTCATGGCTGACCTCTGCGCCCTCCGTGCTGAAGGACTGCCTGCAGCCGCTCTCCAGTCCTGATGACCTAAGGTCTCTCCTGCAGCACCACAAATGTCTCGAACACCTGGGCACACAAGGTAAAACAGATGCCTCGGTCATATTAAGGAGCTAATGCCACAGAATCAACCACATGTGAGCAAAATAAGAGCCAAAGTCTCACTTTTACATGACTGAAGTGGTTTGAAGGATTTGGGGGGCTTATATTTACAGATGTGACTGTTTCACAATGGGGTGTGTCATAACCTCATCACCAGGGCTGTGATGGTGGCTTTGTGGTTTCTGAAGAATCCTGTCTGTATCAAATATGTTTGATATTTGTAAAGTCTTACCAGGTGTGCCAGCGTGGACAGTGACATTTTCACAGTGCTACTGTGGAGCAGATTTTAGATGGATAGATAGATAGATAGATAGATAGATAGATAGATAGATAGATAGATAGATAGATAGATAAAAATGACTGAAGACATTTAGTTGTTTTCCTATTGCTCAGGTATTTTTTGGTGGATGGAGGTCTTCATAAAAATGACTCGTGTGGACACAAGCTTTCAAATTAACACAGTTTATTGTGGTCATATGGGAGAAGACCTAGACCTGAAGGCTGGAAACCACGACCTCACCTGGGTATCTGAACTCAGCAATGTTGTATGTGAAAAGCAGTTCAAATTTTCATGCAGACAACACAACAAATAGTTGAGGGGAATGAGGGAAACATAAAACAGCTCCCTATGTCCTGTGTGTTTTTGCATAGGTACCACTGTGGAGATGTCCACCCAGGTCTTTGCCTGCTCCGAGTGTCCGTTCTTCCACATGCAGGAGTCCTACCTGCTGCAGCACATTGAGCACAGTCACCCAGAGCACTACAGCAAAGTCCAGAAGGCTGCGGAGACAGCTGAGGCCCCCAGGAAGAAGGTCCAGTTCCCTCAGTTCCCAAAGCCGTTCCCCATCCACGACAGACCTGACCCTCACATGTGCCAGGAATGTGGTAAAAGTTTCACACGCGCGTCAGACCTGACACGTCACCAGCGGACACACACGGGCGAGCGCCCGTACACTTGCGACGAATGTAAGAAGGGCTTCAAGAACTCTTGGGATCTGACCAGACATCAGCGCATTCACACTGGAGAACGACCCTTCCTCTGCTCCCAGTGTGGCAAACGCTTCACACAGATGGGTCTGCTCAAACTGCATTTCGAACGAAGCGCCTGCGGCCAGACATACAACCCTCTCCTAGACATAACGACGGAGGTTGTAGTAGCAGAGGAGACATCGGAGAAAAGCAGCAGTCAGTACAAATGCCAGAAATGTGGCGAGAGCTTCAGTAGCATCCTGGAGCGGCTGAGACACAGGCAGGGGCACGTGGTCAGGCGCCAGTACAAATGCTCTCAGTGTGAGAAGATCTACAGCCGAGCGTCAGATTTAAAGAGACACCAGATGAAACACACAGGTGAGCGGCCATTTTCCTGCGAATGTGGGAAAAGCTTCACCCATGTGTGGCTTCTGAATAAGCACCAGCGGATCCACACCCAGGAGCGTCCGTACCCCTGTGCAGAGTGTGGGAAGAGCTTCACGCAGCTTCAGATACTTAACAGACACCTGCTGACTCACAACGGACAGCGGCCTTTCCAGTGCTCCCACTGTGAGAAGAGCTTCACCCAGCTGGCCAGCCTCACCCGCCACGAGAGGATCCACACAGGTGAGAGGCCGTACTCCTGCACCACCTGTGAGAAGACGTTCCTCACACAGGGAGAGCTGGGCAGGCATCAGCGCAGCCACAGTAACTTCAAGCCGTTCAGCTGCTCACAATGCCCCAAGAGCTTTAAAACCAAGCGCGCTCAGAGCGAACACCTCAACACACACACCGGCGAGCGTCCGTTTGCATGCACGCGCTGTGGGAAGAGGTTTGCCAAGTCAACCTCACTCGTCCGGCATAACCTGACTCACACGGGAGAGCGACCCCACCAGTGCCCTCAGTGTGGAAAGACCTTCCTCACCTCTGGTGAGCTGCTCCTGCACAAGCGCATCCACACAGGAGAAAGACCTTATCCCTGCTCCTACTGTGAGAGGAGGTTCAGGTGCTCCTCTGACCTCAACATGCACATCCGAACACACACCGGGGAGAAGCCACACAGCTGTCTCTTCTGTAAGAAGAGCTTCTCCACGTCCACGAGGCTCAAGAGACACATGCGCACACACATGGAGAAGGGGATAGTTGTGGAGTCATTTAATCTTTGAGCTGTCAGGAGCTGATGATGTATTTATTACGACACGATGATTCTCATCATTAAATAATAAAAACTGTCTTAATTGAATTGTTTCATTTATTTTTTATAATGTTTCATAAAATGTTGATGTTTTTGTTCAGAGCAGCTTTCAACCTCCAGAGGAGAAGAACCAGATGACGAACCAGTGCTGAAGGTCAGTGGTTCTCAATCTTTTTGGCTTGTGACCCTTTGAAATTAAGCAATGTCGATTTGAGGCCGACTGTCAGTAGTTGTGTCAGTAGATATGTCTTTGAGATGCATCTAAAATGTTGCTTTGTGTGCCTAGGACTGTGAAAACAATCAAAGAATGAAGTTTTAGATAACTAAAGGAATACCTCACCATTTTAAAAACAATAGGGAGAGAAGACAGAGATAACATTTAGGCTATAGTGAGAACAGTTCAAGAGGAGGAGAATCTGAAGGACGGTTGCAGGAGAGGAGAGCTTGGGAAGAGTGATAAAGCCGAGCAAGGCAGAGCAGAGACATACAGAGAGGACAAATGGGATTTCCAGAGAGAAACAGAACCAAACTGTTCACAGAGGAACCAAAGAAAACCAAGATCCATGGAAGTGATGAGAGCACAGACACTGAAGCAGTAAGCAAAGTCCAGGACATAGGGGAGATGTGTGGCCTGGAAAAGAAATATATGAACAATATAAAGGAACAGAAGAAAAGGAAAATAGAAACAAAAGGTAGAACGAGAGAAAGAGGTCACAAAGATGTCTGAAAAAGGGAGAAGAAGGACAGACATATTGAAGATGGTTCTACTGAGGACTGCTCAGAAATCCACGGTGAGCTCTTCTTACATTTAGTGTTCATCGTGATTGTTAATAGCTCATATATTGATTGATTAATTCATCTGTGTAATGTTGGAAATAACTTATGTTGACATTAAATCAGCAGCGTCGTTAGATCTTTGGTGACTGATTATCGGCTTTTGGGTAAACTGACAGAAGTTTGTCTCATGTTACATTCAAGAGAGAGACATCTGTAATCCACTCAAGCCTTTAGATCACATTGTCTGTAGGTCTACATCCATGATGAGCTGGTCTGATGTTGTAGATTTAACTGATTTTTATCATCCAAACAGATTGGCAAATGATTGAGGCCTGCAGCTGTGTGAAGGCAGTGGGGTTAATCATAAAAACAGACAGATTTAAGGTGTAACAAGACTTCAGGCTGAAACATTTGATGCACCTATAGTCCTGAACACATTTTAATAAATGGTTCCCAACCATTTGAACTTGTGACCCCTTAAAATGAAGTCATATCTACTTCCCTTGTGATACATTTGAATGAGTTGTGAGCAGTTCCACCCCCTGAAAAAGACAAATATCTGGTCTTTCACAAGAAAAAAAGCGACTGTTAAAATCATAAAAAGGTACAGCTGATCAAATTAAGTATGTGTCATTGTTCCTGTTCTGTTAATCATCTTGCAACCCCTTTACACTGTGTGATTAGGGCTGTCTGAGGCGTATGTTAACAGTCGGGAGAGAAACTGGTACAATCTGTGGTTGTCAATCAAATATAACTTCTTAACTGAATTTAAAAAATATGATAAAATAATTATGGTAAGTGATTTGTTTCCATGTGGATGACAATACAAATGTGTCAATTTGTAATTTTTTTTAAAATTGTAATTGCAGCCTTTAATTTTATTCAACATGTCAAGGCTCCAACTAATGCACTAAGCATTTCATTTGGCTACTTAAACTTAGCTGACTTCATCTCTGATCATAAATGTGTCATCTTTTAGTCTAGCACACTGCACACTGTGCTCTCACACATTTTAATAACACATCTGCTGCTTTATTTTCAAATGCTGATTATGATTCTTCAGCCCAGGGCATATCTGAACTTTCCCAGGTTGATGATTTAGTAATCTGTTTTAATAGTGCTTACCAGGCCACTTTGGATATATCAGTCTTTATAAGTACAGATACACCTACAAACAATATTTGCTGCATAACATCTATATACCGAAGTCTGAATTATCTCAATTTTGCCTTTTCCAGTGATTTAGTGTCCCTGGTGGCTGTTCAATTGTTTTACATAAGGTTTAACACAATAGTGTATTTAAGTATTAAAATTAGGAATAGTGACATTGTTTCTTTATAACACAAATACATATTAAAGAAAGAATCTACTTAAAACCTAGAACACCCACGTGGCTATCACATGGGTTATCATTACAACACGAGTTAATAATAAATATTAAAATTCCCTCAAAGTTTCCCGCCGGACCGCTTATCTGCAGGGACTTCCTGTTCCACCCACATTGTCGTGTCGCTTCCGGGTGGCCGCTCAAGACTCATCCAGCGAGTTGTCGTTATCTCAACGCTGTAAACAAAAGTTACTAAACGGTTTAGCTCCCGCGACACATTAATCAAAAAGACATGCATATCAAAACAGGTAAGTTTGTACAACTTTTCTGACACATTTGATAGAAATTCATCACTTTCAGATGTGTTATTTTGTTGCCTTGCTACAGTGTTAGCAGCGTAGCTAGCGGTAGCGATAGCAGCCTGCTCGCCGCTTTGAATGGGGGGTTACGAAACTTTGACTTCGGCTAAGGTGCTAGCTAGCCCTGAATTTTTTGATATAGTAAAAATGAAGCCATTTCTCGACGGCAGCTGTGGTTGTTAAGAGGTTGTTGAACAATGTTGGCCATGTCACAGCGGCAGAGGGATAAACCGTCGAGTTTAATTCGCCGCACAATGACGCTGCTAATTAAAGTTTGCTAACACAGGTGCTGGCTGCCAGCCCTGCAGACGTGAATCATAACATTTTGTTCAGTTCGAAGAGAGATGCCAATAACGGAGCTAAATTTCTCAGAAATCTGTACAGTCAGCTGGTTTCTCGAAATTTCTGTCACGGTGTACGAAACTGGCTCGTTGGGCTAGTGAACTACCTCACCCGGTTTTATGAAATGTGGCGCTGAGTAGCGGGCAAGCTGTTCGGGCCGGGTGTACTCACTCATCGTGCAATTGTTGTCCCTACATCTGAAACACTGCAAACCGCATGTTGAGTTTCACCCTTAATACCCTAGACTAAGTACTTACTAGGACCTAAATAATTAAACCTTCCCGCACATACTTGGTCAACCATTCTTTTTTCATCGTGAGTTATGTGACAGAAAAACCTTATGTAAACAGACTGTAGGTTTGCCAACTAACGAGTATTTTCATAAATCAGATTTTCTCGAATGGTAATTTAGTCTGTAAAATGTCAGGAAAAAGGTGAGAAATGTCAAGATTTGGATCTTGGGAGAGTCTGAGGTTCAGCCTTCAAGTTGCTTGTTTTGTTTCACTTACAATGTCAAAAACACAGGAAAATAAGCAAATCCACACATTTGAGAAGATAAATGACTTGGGTTGCCAAAATTGATAGTGATTAGTTGTATGTCAGTTGATTATGTAACAAATTTTTTGAGCATTAAAGCAGTCCACAAACACACTTGCTTAAAAAATTTGACCTTTTCAATTTTTCCTTTTGATACTGTCAGCAGAAAACACTCTGTATGAGCGGTTCCACCCTCTTCATTCTATATCAGGTTGTCTTGTTTTTTCTACACAACTTGGAAAATAGGCAGTAATACAGGGAACTGTTGTTCGGCTAAAATCAGCTGGGACAGTGAAGTCATGTGAAGATGTGTCGTCCACCCCTGGTGTTTGCTTTTATGAAGCCGTGCAAAGATCCATGAACTAATGCCAAGTGAAGAATCATCTAGTGTGTGACACCTGTTTGTATACGTAGTGTCATTATCACTGTGCTGTTGTGGCAACAGTAACGAGAATCTTATTCTAGAGAGCAGGGCAGTGATTTGTGACATGGTTGATAGATAGATAATTGGATAGATAATTTATTTATCCCCTAGGGGAAATTCATCAATAGGGTTTCTTAAGACTCAGCTTAAATATTACTGTTCTTCACTTGTGATTTGCTTCACGGTGTAGATATTTTATTTATATATATATATATACATACATACATATTCAAACAATATGTCACCACAGCAGATATTTGACTGACATGTTAATGCCTCTTTCAGGTACATGGGAAGCCAACAACACTGTGTGTGAGTCCGATACCCTGTGCGACCCAGCAGTCCTCGTTTCAGCCACTAACTCTGAGCCTCACATTCGTAACCGCCGCCTGTCCCCTGGCTCAGGAAACTGTGGAGGTGGTGGGGGTGGAGGCTGCATCTCTGGAGGTGACCAGCAGCCCCGGCAGCTTTCACCTGAGGGTGACCTGATTGGACCCGGTCACACACACGGTTTCACCTTCCGCAGGGAAAAAGAACGCAAGGGCCAGCAGCACAAAGGGCGCAGCCTCCGTAGGGAAAGTCAGAAGGGGGTCAGCCGAGTAAGTGAGCGGCCACAAAAAGTTCATCAGAAGGAGAGGTGGGTGGAGGACAGTCTGTCACTGCTCAAGCCCCCGCCTGCCTTCCCAGTGCAGGACAGCCCCGCCAAGCTGCAGCCCGCTGTCAGCTACGCTTCCAAGGTGAAAGCGGGAGCAGCAGGTGGAGCGCTGGAGGAGGACCGCCCCGCCATCGGTGTGCTGCTTCAGAACCAGTGGGGTCTCAGTTTCATCAGCGAGGCGAGGCCGGTCACTGAGGGTTCGAGCCCTCGCCCCACTGCAAACACCCTCCCACCTCAGCCCACAGACGCTAACCAGTCAGAAGACCTACAGCTCGATACAAGTCTCACAGTCCAGGTCCCTGAAGAAACATCAGTCACTACCTCCGTCACCCCAAACACGCGTCCAGAGGTGGACGAGAGCAACGGGAAGCTGCTGCTTAGCTGTCGCCATCTAGTGGAGGCGTTGAACTATCACAATAGAGGTGACTAGCTATGAACACACAGTGCTAGTTTTTTTTTTTTTCATTTTAAAGTTGTCATTTCAGTGCATCACCTTTTTAATAATGACTTTTCTTTCCTCCCCAGAATGGAATGCTATGTGTAACAGACAGAAAAGAGGTAAGTTGACATGGTGGTGTTTGAAATGTTGTGAAATTGGCTTTAGCTCCCTCTGAAATTTTAAAGCTTGTCATGACAATGTTTTGTAGTAATATTTTGTAGTTTTGTCAGTTACATCACTCTCATTGTATTAAGTAGATTTTGAAAACATTTACACAAAATAAATACAATAATACAAATTTGTCATTATGTATTACTGGCATTTTAAACGTTGTCTTTGTTTGTTCCCCTTTGACGTTCTGTTTTTCTGTCTTCCAGATCCAAAAAGGATTGTCTGGTACAAGGACACCCAGGAGCACCCAGCCTAGCAGTGTGAGAAACCCAAAGTTCTATATAAACACATACAACACACGCCTACATGCACATTAAAACATGTAAAGATGGACAACTTTTGAGTCCCGTTCACACACACACTGCACTCAGGATGATGTCTTCACGCAAAGCCACACTGAGACACTTTGGACTAACTCCTCTGAGATCTTACAGCAATGGACTTTTTTTAACGCCTTACAGAGAGCCTGCCTTAATTAATCAGATGTGTTTCCATCGCCTCTCATTACCATTTTTAGCTTGTATGTGTAGAGCTGGTCTTTTTTTAAAACAATCTCTGAGGAACTGTAACTTAATTTTTCCCCCCTTTTTGAAAGCTGCAGTTTTATCAAACTTTTCTTTTTCCTCTGTAAAGCGAGTGGTCAATCAAGCACTTTGTTAAAAAATCTGTTGTGACCAATCCCTGTGTGCGAGAAACCCTCACCAGAGTGATTTATCCCCCTTCCCCTCGATTATAAACAGAATGTCTTGTTCCTGCTTGAGTTCTATGGTTCATGTATGCAGAGGACTTCTGTGTCCGTGTCTTCAGTTTACATAAGGGTGTAGTCAAAGGCACAGTTAGAATTCACCCTTTACCCCTGTCAGATCTTAATGCTGTGTTCATTTCTTTGTTTTTATTTGGTTCCCTAATCAGGTGAATGTGTTATTCATGAATCCATAAGGGATCTCACCGTGTCCAGTATGTTGATTTTTGAGAAGAAAATTTATTGAATAAAAAAAATTTACACTGGAGAAGGAGGAGGAATGTAAGTGAACGGTATTGCTCAATAAAAATGAATAAACTTGATAAGTTCAATCTTAGACCTTTTTATTTGAATATATCAAGTTCAGATTTTCTGCTGACAAAGTCTAAAGTCACATGTTTCTGTTAATGTTTCTCTCCTCAAGTGTATGACAAGGAATTTGTAACTGAACAAAAAGCAGGGCACAAACTCAAATTAAACTGCCAGATCTTGAGAGGAAAAACAGCTGCACTACAAATTTTATTGTGATACACAATAAATCAGTGGCCAGTTCTGAATGAGGACAGAGTCAAAGGAAGTAAGAACATTAAGGTCAGTTTTTTTCCTGTCAGCACTGAAGAAACCAGGCAGTGAGCTTAGCAAACATGGTTTTGTTGTGTTTTACAAATCCTCTTCAGATTTTTGCAGTTCCAAGAGAATTATCTCTCTCAGCCAAAACAAACAATTATCAGCCCTGAAATTCCACATCAGTGCATGTAGAGAGTCTAATGTAAAGTAGCCATCTTAATTTTGAAAAAAAAACAAATCACCTTTAATCTCAAACTGACAGTACATTTGTTTGTTGTAGATGTGAACGCTCAGGTGCAGGATGTGGTCCATCCAGGCAAAGTCCCACCACCTCTTGTGACCAGAGGAAGTTATGCAGGAGTGTGTAGTTGACATGCATAAGTTCTCCAAAATGTGACAATCAAAATATACCTCTTTCTACTGGAGTATTTACAACAGCCACCAAAGAGTGAAGTTCCCTAACAATTTTAAAAGAAAAAGCTGGTGATATTGTATTTTTAGTGTCAAATCCCATGAAAAGAACGAAACCAACACAGAAAATAGTCTAGCTCACAATACCTTCTGACCTCCCCACCATGTCTGTGGCGCTCAGCCCTGAAGCCCATTCCTTACTACTGACGATATAAATCTTTGAAAACATGTCCCAAATAATAATAACTCAGCTCAGTAACAGCTGGACTGTAGCTCTGAGCAAACGTTACTCAACAAGAGGAAATGGTGCATTTGTTGGGTACTATTTTCAGCTGTGGATTAATACGCAATTGCTGTATTACCAGCAGCAGGATGGCATATGCGCAATTGAGTAAAAATAAACTACAGTGTGTGTGTGCATAGCAATGAAGACCTGCTTGCAACACTGTGGCTCACTGATGTGTTTTTGTACAACAGAGGAATAACATGTATGAGCCTTTGTATACACAGTTCTTTTTAGCAGGATCAGTTCAATGTTGGGTTTGGTTTTTCATGGTATCTGATGACAGTTATAAAAATAGAGACTATCACCTGACATATCCTTTAAACATGAGTAAACTAAACAAGAACAACTACAAACCTCATGACATCTTTAAAGCCGAATGCTTAATTTGACTTTGAGTAGCAACTCTAATGTCACATGCAACAGAGTGTAAGTGTCCCTTTAGAGGCCAGGTGTACTACAGACCTGCTGCAACAACATATTTAACACCAGGATGTTGTGTCGCTCAGTCCATCAGTCAGTCTCTCCACGTCACCTGCACCTCATCTGTTCTGTACCTGCAACAGGACAAATGTTAATGCTCGACATGGTCAGGCAACAAGTACAAGCACAGTGAGGTGACAATGTTAAAATTTCTCCTACAGCAATTAAATCCAGGATTCACAACTTTCTTTCACACAAAGAGTGAGATGGTGAAGACTGAGATACTTACTATGTTCCCTGTATAATTAAGGGTAATAGTAAAGTCTATATACTTTCTAACTAAGGGACCCTGAACGCACCATGGATCAAAATCTGTTTTCTAGATCATTAAATCACAAGCAACCAGTGTGGATTCGTCATAATTTCCCAGAAGAACGTAGAAGCAGATAAACAAGAACAGAAGGGAGAGAGACAAAGAGAAACAGTGACGTGGACTCTACCTTTGTGTAATCCATGAGTCCTCCAGCTCCGTCACCTGACCGGACCTAAACATCTCCCAGCCGGCCTGAGCAATCATTGCTCCGTTGTCTATGCAGAATCTGTGGCATACAGGGAACAGTGTGTTATCTGGACTGAACCTGGAACACAGTGTTCCTGGCAGACTGAGATCCCAGGATATTTTAGGAATTCAGCAGTGAGAATTTGTGATGGAGAGAAAAGATGATGGTTTGCTCTTGTCACACTTTCATACAAAGGGTTTGATATGGAGATTTCTGTATTGTTTCCCTTCATGTAAATATTTTTAACAGGGCCATACCAATGTTTCTGCATGTTCAGCCCATTTACTACAAATCATATACACTTTACATACTGTTTACACTTTTGTAACGCATGCCATTTTTTAAGATAGTTTCATTGTTTTAAAAGCACTTAAGATCAATATGTAGAGTTGAAACCTGCTTCTGATGTGTAATCATTGAGCCTCGTGTCCGTTTGTTCTTTATTTTCCTGAACATTGTTGTGGTTGTATAGACTCCAAATAAGTTTGTCCTTGCACATTACCATCAAAACGTTTCTAAACCATGACTACAATAAAGTTTATTGTGATGATTTTTTCTACTATAAGTATTTTAATGAAATGAATAAAAAATAATAGCAGCCTGGAAGAGAATAAAAACAAATCTAAAACATGGCATGCAGTTAAAAAAAGTTAGTAGTATATGTGATTTAAATAATAAATAATATTAAAAAAGCAGTTTAGCATGAGTATTTGTTATATTTAGAGAATTAAGTGTGATCCTGAATTTCACTCTTGTCACAGTGGAAAAGCCATCTACATCACCCACACTACAGACCTGTTGAAGGGTGTGTTACAGTCCTGATAATCCAGTGTTTCAACACCTGACTGTAGAGCCAGTTATATTGTATGTTAATGGTATGAGAGTGGTTAAAGTATCAGTGCTGCCTGGGTGAATCTCAAACAAACTCTGTTGTAATGTGAATGTAAGTGAATGTGCTGGGTGTGGACGGGCTGGTTTACCGTTCATCTGTGGCAAACAGCTTGGCACCTCGCTCCTTACACATGACTCCCATCATCTCCTGCAGACGCAGATTACCTGCAGAGGAAACCAGAGCTCTTACTCTCCACTTAGACTGGACACAATCATATAAACACACATTAAATCTTCTGGTGAATGAATGAATGTGAGCTTTAATTATTCTCAGTGTTCTTACTTACAGGGAATGGTTTTTTAATTAATCTTGGGATTATCCTTTAAGGTACAAGGATATTCGTATTTCAGACATTTAGCTTAAGCTCTTTTCCAAGTGACTGAGAGGTAATTTCATTTACAAACAAACAACAGTTTGGAACAACATCAGTAGAATGTGGGTCTTTGTGGGTCAAATTCACACTGACGGTCTGCCAAAGTACCAAAATAACAGCTTGATCCTGCTCTATCCATGGTCAAACCAGACTCAAAGCTGTTACAATTTTGGTCCTCGGGCTGTTATCATATTACTTTACTAAGTTTTGATATTTTTTCAGGTGAGAACGCAAGCGTTAAGATTTAATGTTTAAAATTTAGATTAAGATTTAACATTTCAGAAAATATGACAAAGTTCACAAATACTGCTGTAAATCTGGTAAAAAGGTGACTTTAAAATGATCTGTTTTCCAATTTGAAAAATCATGAATGAATATTCTTCCACTGCGTCATTCTCTTTGTTTTTAGGTACAAAAACAGGAAGAATGTGTGCTGTTGTTAATCTGATAACACTTCTGCACAGTTTACCGAGTATCAGGAATGACAATATTTGTGTTTTTGTCAGAAGTCACTTCTCTGAGTGCCCACGCACACAGAGGAAACATGGGTAGGCCTGTTCCTTGAAAGACAAAATCCAGCCCTTAGACTCATTTCAGTGCATTTCACAACTGTAGATACAGTGTACAATACAATAGTGTACACAGTCTTTCAGGCTCCTGTATTGTACATTTGTATAAACTCTAGAAAGTAAACCTGGTTCTTTCTCACACTTCAAGACATTAACTGTTATATTACTGATATTTTTATGAAGCACTGTAGCCACTGGAAATATCACTGACCCAGATAAACAGTCCCCACAAAGACAGACCCAGAGGCACGAATGACATCAACAGTATGTATTTTTTAACAGGGACTACATTTGTTGGACTGGATTTTTCCTTGAAGCATCCATTTCTGATGTGTACTCACAGCCAACACCCCCGACGATGAGGACCTCTTGGGAGCCGCAGTGAGCCATGGCCCTCTCTGTGATCTCCACCAGCATGGAGAAAACTGTCTCCTGCAGAGATTATCAACTCAGTTTAATATCACGATTAGAGCTGCAAGTTGTTGATTAATAGTTAGTTGATTAATCACTTAGTCAACTGACAGAAAATTAATCAGCAACTATTTAGACAATGGAATATCATTGTAGGCCTTGTCATGATGTTTTAGTCCAAATATTTCAAGATCAAAACAGGGCAAGACATCTAAACACTGAGTTCTTTGAAGACTGTGTTATGAGGCTTTGAGGTTTAAAGTTGCTATGGACACCCAAAAAAGATCAGAGCCTTTAAGCTTACAACTGACTTCTACAAATAATTACAACTTTGTATTTTCTCTCTTCTGTGATTCTATTGGAGATTTCTTCCTGTGTTGGTTTTTTTTGGACTTTTTAGCCTTTATTCTGATAGTTGCAGTGAGAGAGAAACAGGAAAGTCAGGGAGACAGAGGGGGGATGACATACAGCAAAGGGCCACAGGTCAGATCCAAACCCAGGCTGCTTAGGTAATGACTAAGCCTTTGTGGTACTTGCTCTACCAGGTGAGCCACTGGGGGTGCCCCCTTCCTGTTAAAAAGGGAGTTTTTCTTCTCCACTGTTGCCTAGTGCTGCTCATTGTCTTCACCTTATCCCCTTAGGGTAAAATGCCACGTCATGATTTGGCGCTATACATATAAAAATGAATTGAATTATATCTTTTTTAACTTACTGAGCGACACATATCTACCATGCAGGACAGCACTATGTTAACAGACTAACTGGGTGTGTTGGTCCTTAGTACCTGCAGTGAGAAGCACAGGTCCTCTGCTGTACACTGACCAGAGCTCAGCATCTTATGAGCAGCTTCCTATAAAAGAAAAATAGAAAGAAAACACAAGATAAACATCAAACTGTAGGTTTGAGAATCAGTTTCACAACTTGTCAAACATGTCAAAGGATAACTGAGAGGACTGAATCATAAATCACCACTCACCTCAATGTAGGATAAAATCCCAGAGAATGAGACGTCCATTCCTTTAACTGTATACGGTAGCTCCACATACTGACTCCCTCTAACAGCGTGGACAAAAAGAAAATACAAAAATTAAGCTCACAATACATCCCCAGCTCCCTCAGTGAAACTGCTTCGTGTCAAATGTGCAATTGTAAATGTAAACCCCCACTCACTTCTTGGCCATCTGCTCTATGTTGTAGCCTGGACTGGGGTCATTGGAAATCTGAGTTGAGTTGAGTTCAGCACAGAAGTATCAACACACACATCTCAGATACAGTAAAAGGCAAATCGCTGCTATAATGACAACAAGAATGACACAAACCTTTATAACTCTGGCGAACCTGTCCAAACAGTTGCCAACCGCAATGTCGATGGTCTCCCCAAATATTCTATACCGCCGCTCTGAGTATGCAATAACCTGCACAGTAAGAATTGGACAACAATATAAATACATCAGTGTCTAATAAATTACTTGGAACTCGCTGTATGTTTACATGTTACCTACATAAAAGAAACCAACCTGTGTGTTCCCCCCACTAACATAAAGCACAGTGGGGTTGTTGGCTTTGGTGATGAGTCGACCCATCTCGATGTGTCCGATACAGTGGTTGACACCGAGGAGCGGCTTCCCCCAAAGCTGTGAGACTGTACGAGCCACCAGAGCCACCGTTACCAAGGGGGCACCCATACCAGGGCCTGACAGAGAAGAGGAAGAACAAGGGAGAGGTTTTTCAAAAGATATTCTGTCTTTGTCTGAGAGAGAACATAACACCAGCCTGTCAGTTTTGCCTACTGCAACATGTTAAACTATCTTTGCCTTAGGGCCATCAGACGTGTAAAGAGGCCTCCCTCACACAGACCCGAGAATGCCGTAAGAACGTAAGTTAACCTGAAGTCAGTAAGAGGATTTTAGTGTCCTATGATGTTTGTTTTTTTATCCTGAAAAGAAAGAACCTAATGGGATCCACTAAAACAGCAACACAAAATATTGGCAGCTGGTAGCTTCACTGTCCTAAAATTACCTTTTTAAAAACAAATGACAAATTTGTCAGCCCACTGTACATACTGTATATTTGCTGGCAAGTAGAGCAAAATTAAGCTTCAAATTACAGCCATGACGTTCAACATGCAAAACTAACACTGGACTTGGTGGAAAATAGTGCTTATCCGAACAATGTTATTTTAAACTCTGGTGTTTTCAAAGATATCAAACACATGAGCTGGATATGAATGTGTACAGTATAAAGTAATGCACAAGATATCTAGAATTAACCCTGTGATGTAACTGTGCAGTGGTTAAGAAATGCTGCTTTGGATTTTAATATTGTAGTCAACGTAACTGAATTAGCTACAGTGAAGTGGAACAAGCAGGTGAGTACATCATGTTAAACTGAGGAGAAATGTTTTTACCAACCCTGAGGTAGAAACTTATAAGAAAGGTCAAAGGGCAAGCTCTGCCTCCATCCAAAGACTCTCTGTAGTGTCTTAAGGCAAATACTAGGAATATCTAGGGTAAAGTAGTTAAGAATGACATGAGCACACACTTGTAAAACTTGTAAAAGTATGAGGTAATCCTCATTCTGACAGACGTCTGACAAGTTCAATCTTGCTCTACTACAAGATGAACTCACAGTATCTTATGTTACCTTTGGTGTACGCCACACAATCGATATCTGCAGGCTTCAGCCCTGCCTGCTCCAGCGCCTCCTTCAGGACAGTCAGTATGACAGCACGGTGGTGCCGGGCTGTGTCACTTGGCATGAATCCTGATGGGTAAAATAACATGCTGTCAACTCCAAATACGTTAGACTTTGACATACCACCCCTGAAGTGAAGTTGACGTTAGCATTTTAACAGAAGTCTGACTTGCCTTGACCAGGAGGTGTGATGTAAGTCCGTCTAGGGTTGGAAAGAACTTCACCATCTCTGATGATTCCTATGCCGATTTTATTGGCACTGCCCTCAAACCCGATTACTACAGTCATGGCAGCTGAAGAACAGTCTATAGAAAAGAGAAAAGAATGTGCAGTGAAGACTAATGTTTTCTCTCTTCACAAAACCAACAGGTCTATTAGAATAGTGTCTGTTTTCAATTGTATTTTCCAGTTAATCACTTCATCTCTTAAGGAAGGCCATATCTGCCCATGGAAAAAAAAACATGAAAAGTGAAAATACGATACTATATCAAAATTAAGTCAAAATTGTAACATACTAATACAGAATTATGAGAAATTACATGGGTACTCCACTAATTTTAAACATTAAACTTGGTCATATTAGCCACTGCCAGCTCCACCGGCCCTGTCCAGCAGATGGCAGCAATGGTTGGCTAAACTGGAAGTTGTTGCCAATTTCTATTTGCAATATAGCATTTTCACTAAGCTTGACTGGGAGAAGAGTGAAGGTTAAGCAGGGACAAAGTGGGGACAGACTCCATGTTATTTTATAACAACACACTTAAGATTCATTTTCTTTTGTAGTTTGGCACAAAATGTTGCTGGAATGAACCACACTAAAATGAACACACTCTCACAAAAGTATCAGCTCTTATTACCAGAGCATATAGGGCCTTTCAGCCCTCCAAGTATCCTTTACAATATTAACCTAACTGCTTCAATAATGTGCCAGAAAATTCAGAAAATATATAAATGTAAATGATGCAATAGTCAGGGGGCAATACAGTCTATGGATTATATTCGAATTAGTTCAAACAAATTAGGTGCCAGTTTGAATTGTATACAGGTTTTGATTCCAATCAGAAACCTCCTTGGCCAGTTTCACTGATGAGCACACTTAAAGTTAAGTTATAGCTTGATTGACTGATTGATTACTACTCTTGCAAGTCTTATGATTTTATAGACGTGCAATACTAAATCACTAGAGTACACGTGTGCCAAAATGACAAAATACTAAGTAAAAGTATGAGCAATTAAATGAAACAATGAGTAACTAAATCAAAATTATGAAATATGAAGTAAAAACTGAGATACTGAATCAAACTTGTGACTTAGTCAAAATTTTCAGATGTGATGTTACAGTTTGAACATGTTATCATCATTTTCAACTTTTAAAGCCAATACTTTAACTTACTGCGCCAAAATATTCAACTTTGTGAGTCATTTTGACTTAGTTTATCATAATTTCAATACAAAAACGTATAATTGTGAATTACCATCACTATTTCTATTTGCACCACAACTAATCTTTTTCCTTGCAGAAATTAGCTTCCACAGCAGAATGCGAATTTACATTTTCCCAGAGGTGTTTTTTGGTGATTTATGAGTGGGCGTTTGTGTTTTTTGATGATAAACATGCTAACATTAAATTCTAAACTGTAATTTTACATTTAAATGGCCTATGCCATATCAGCCTATACATGTTCAACCTGAATAAAAGCCACATTAGAGGTAACAAAGATAAATTATGTCCATATTTAGCCTAAAACCAAAATATAGCATCCTGCATAGCTGTGCTGCTGCTAAGCTAGCACTGACAACATACGGCTCCCCTAAAACTAGCTTATATTAACGCTGCGTTGAAGGATAAAATAGGTATACCTAGCTTTTTAATTTCATTCGGTAGTTCACAATAATTAAAACTCGTCTCAGTTAAATGATAAAACTAGTAAATTTACTACCTTAGCTTACTCCTGCAACTCAGCTCCTCCATATGAACCTCGAAGGACCCATTCTAATAGCTGTGGAGTTCGCCTGACCAAAAAGCTTCGTCTAACGGCCTGTGTTTTACTTCAGGATACTGAAAAAACACGATGCGATACTTCAGAACAATGCGGTGTGTGTCATAGCAGCTAATACTTTATATATTGTAATCATATCTTTAAAATTATAAATTAAAATGTGGATTTCTTTTGCAATTTGTAGCAGGCATGTAATGCGGCAGTCACTAAATACAGCAAGCACGTGGTCAGAAATCTTTGCTGTGCTTTGTGTGTGCGATTGTGGATGTGTGAGTGTGTGTGTGTGTGTGTTTGGGGGAGTGACTGGGAAGCAGCACTTGTCTGATCTTTGCATCCTGTTGTGAGAGTACAAGTAAGACTATTTGCATCTCCTTTTCCTGAAAGGTGTCGTCGATCGAAAATAAAATGCTAACTATATTTAACCGGATTTGCATCAGTAGATCAATCAGTGAAGGTGTGAAGAAACTAAAGTTAGCTGGCTGGTCATTCTCCATTGATTCTTAGTGTAGGCCGTCTGCTGCAGGCTCAGTGGTCTTTGTCAGAGGAAACGCTAGCATTAGCATAGCTTACCATTAAACTTGTTGTGTGACACAGTAAAACTGTTAGCTAGCTTCTGTAGTTTGTGTAGTTATGTTTTCTTCATACATGCTGTTGATCTTGCATCCAGCGGGTCTCAAATTCACTCATATTTTACATTTAATGCGCTTGGCTGCATGCAGCAACGATTTTCATTAAAATAAAGGCTGTCAGCGCGCTTCCTCTTTGTCAGAGAAAATATTGAAGCCTTCAGAAACTCGCTCGGCCTTTGTCAAGTCGATGAGCCATCTGAAACAAATGCATGCGTGTGAAATTGAGGTATTTTGTAACACGAGGATGAAGACGTACCGCGAGCTGAACGTCTGTTTCCTACAAGAAGGGAGACATCGTGGTTGGGCCGACATCCAACAGGCCGATACTGATGCCGTTATAAGTTTTCACACTTGCTTGTCTGTAGATGTTTAAGTTGGCTTCATCAAAGTAATTGGAAACACAACTGGAGAAAATTTCAATCAGCCAAATAATAGCTGTAAAAGTTAAAAATAGACCAATATATAGGCCAGTATTGGCTTATTGCAGATAGATGGTATTGTTGGATATGTTGGTTGATAAATTACAACAAACCGCAGCACAGAAACATTTAGAAACAGTGTATCCGTTGCATTAGTGGTTCTCAAAGTGGGTCGCCATGTTTTATTTTCATTATAACTCCATCCACCAGTAACACAATGACAGTATATGACTGTTCTTGTCATGGGTTTCACTTTTTTTGATTAAAAAATCTAAAAGCAAAAGTCTTTATCAGATGGGGGTCCATGGACTAATTTGTGTCAGTTTGGGGTTTGATGTGAAAAAGTTTGAGAACCACTGGATGTAAATGTAATGGATCCTTATCAAATATGTGTAATATTAATGTTAGTTGGATTTATCGATATTGATATCAACATCAATAATCTAGTAAGCAGTGAGCAGTCTAGTGAGTGAATCTAGTGAGCAGCATTGACTGTGTGGAGATTTTCAATGTTAACAACTGAAAATCATCCAGTCTGTTTAATTTGAGCAAAAGCATTTCACTGTTTTTAAGTGTTTTCATTATCAATTCATTTGTCAATATTTGTCTGATGTAATCAATTTTTAAATCTATAAAATGCTATAAATATAAAACTTCCCATAACCCAAAGGTGAAGGGAAATTGTTTGTTTGTTTGACCAAAAACCCAAAAAAAATGTATTTACAATGATACAGAACAAAAAATCCTCCCACTGCAGAAGCTGGAAACAGCAAATCATCTTTAACAGTTATATCTGACTATAAATATCTGATTCATTTTCTATCAATTGAGTAATTGATTTATCAACCACTGATTCAGCACTACAGTAAGAACCTGTACATTTGGTGACATAGGGTGGAGGGACAGCATATTGTTGTTGTAGCATTCAACACTTGACAGTTTTAAATGAACACATCATTTATATTCCTCTTCTGTTCTTGCAGCGGCGTGTGTGCTGTTGTGTGTGCGTGTTGTGTGTCTGCGAGGTGTGTTTGCAGTCAGAGCGAGTTCAAGTATGAAGAGAGGCAAGAAGGCAGAGGAGGCGTCTGCAGATGGGGAAAATGACGCCGGCTCTGGTATTACAGCACGCATTAAAACACATTCACACACAAACGCACATATCTGACTTCTTAGCTGCTTTCATTATGACATATGTCTATCTTCCACCTCACAGCTGCTGCAAAGAAAACGAAGAAGGCTAAGGAACCAGAGGCCCCAGTGCTGTATGAGGATCCTCCTGACAAAATGACCAGCAAAGATGGACGAGATGCCAACATGAAGATCACCTCCTGGAATGTGGACGGGCTGAGGGCCTGGGTGAAGAAGAAGGGCCTGGATGTGAGTTTGCAGTGACCCTGAGAAACATAAGTTAGTCAGCAGGCTAAATGGTTATGCACTCACACATTTGTGCTCTTCCCTCCCAGTGGGTGCGCGAGGAGGATCCAGATGTTTTGTGCCTGCAGGAGACCAAGTGTGCGGACAAGGACCTCCCTGGTGATATCACCTCCATGCCCGAGTACCCTCACAAGTACTGGGCTGCCTCAGATGATAAGGGGGGTTACAGTGGTGTGGCCATGCTCTGCAAGACTGAACCCCTCAAAGTGACCTATGGCATTGGTGAGTGGTGCTTTATTTTGCTGTTATACCATTTAGAAATGCCGTGCCTGTGTAGCAGACCTCAGGTATTGGTCTGTGAGATCCTGAACCTGCATTGTTGGCGATTAGGCACAAGTATGCCAAGTAGAGTTTTGAATTGATAGTTTTTAAGAGTTCAAATGTTTGAAAATTGCACAAGAATAAAATTATCTGCAGTACTATTACTTGGTTAAGGGTAGTAACTTATGGAGTCTCCACTGTTTACTTGACTGGTCCCACATCCAGCACAGAGCCTCTGTAAAAAGGTAAATTATACTTTTTAACATGTTACTATGTGAGATTTAAAGGTCCTGGTAGGTGAGTTTTGATCCCTTTGGAAAGAGCTAGCTGTTTCCCCGTTTCCAGTGTTTGTGCTAAGCTAACCAGCTGTTGGTGATAGCTTCATATTTACCTTACACATAAGTCTCAGCAAGATAAATTTCCCAACACGTGACAAACTGTCAGTTACATATTGTAGTAACTGCACAGACAGTGATTTGACCTTGTTGACCATCTGTAAATGACTAAACTGAAAAGCTCTTTGAATCCTGGTTCAGTATTTGCCTTCTCCTCTACCAATTCTCCAGGCAAAGAGGAGCATGACAAGGAGGGCCGTGTCATCACTGCAGAGTTCCCCAACTTCTACCTGGTCACCGCCTATGTGCCAAACGCCAGCAGAGGCCTCGTGCGCCTAGATTATCGCAAAACCTGGGACGTGGACTTCCGGGCGTATCTGACCGAGCTGGACATACAGAAGCCCCTGGTGCTGTGTGGCGACCTCAACGTTGCACACCAGGAGATCGACCTGAAGAACCCCAAGGGCAACAAGAAAAGCGCCGGCTTCACCCCCGAGGAGCGCGAGGGCTTCAGCCAGCTGCTGTCGGCCGGTTTCAGCGACAGCTTCCGCGAGCTCTACCCCGAGCAGACCAACGCCTACACCTTCTGGACCTACATGATGAACTCCCGCGCCAAGAACGTGGGCTGGAGGCTCGATTACTTTTTGCTGTCGTCCTCCTTGCTGCCAGGCCTGTGCGACAGCAAGATCCGCAACAAGGCGATGGGAAGCGACCACTGCCCCATCACTCTGCACTTCGCTGTGTAGGTCGCTGTGAGGACAGCAGGGTTACTGCTTCGTCTGGCCGGCACCGTTTTCTTAATATTCCTGTTTCGACTCAGCTCAAAACGATCATGTATGCCGATGTGTGCACTGTTAGAGTGCAGCAACACCTGGTTGTGCAGGAAAGTCTCGCATCTGTTGAAATCTGTCATGGATGAAGTTCTGCCCAGTTTCACTCATTCAGTAAAGTCAGCAGTAGCGTAGTTGTCTGGTACTTTTGTCTTTTTCACATGAAAGTTTCATGACACGATACATAAGGCCCATTAGTCCTCTCTCTGTAATTGAATTTGTCAGTAAACACCTAAATTCATCTTGGCAATTCTGTAAAAATACAACACTAAATACCAAAAGATGTCTAAGCTGATTTTCAACATTGTCCTGTCACCAGCTGTAAACCTGTTTCATTGTCTGAGACCCAACTCAGTTTTTTTCATGTTACTGTTTGAAATGAAACTACTGCTGTTAAGAGAAAATGTATTTTGTTGTAGCACAAGAACTTTTAAGCTTCCTTTCCAATAACCAGTGTTACATTTTTTGTTATAAAACTTGGCCCTCTTCTCAATAAAGACTGAATTTATATAGAAACCTTGTTCTGTTCATTATTTGAGCCAAATAAGACAAAAACTACATCACAATGCATCTGAAAAACACACCTCTCTGCTCAGTGCACTTTAATTGCAACACAAGCATGAAAATAAATGTATAATGGAAAAAGGGGAAATTCAACATGAACCTGTTCTTGCTAGCTTGAAGTTTCAACACTAGATGCAGTTACATAAGAGGGAGAGCCAAAACAGTGTTTCTACAGTTGCTTTTGTCCCAGTCCAAACTATATCATACAATTTCAATTTCCAAAACAATCTCCATATCAATAAGTTCTGAGTCTTGCTTCACTATGTTACCTTCATGATATGTGTTCGTTGATGCATTTTCAGATTATAGGACTGCCTGAATCCCTTCCCACACACTACACAGAGGTATGGCTTTTCCCCTGAATGTGTTCGCTGGTGTCTTTTAAGGCGGTTGGCACTGAGGAAGCTCTTGTCACACTCTGTGCAGGAGTAGGGCCGGACTCCGGTGTGGTAGCGCAGGTGGATGGTCAGGTAGCAGGACTGAGTGAATTTCTTGCCACAGTGGGGGCACTGGAAGGGCTTGTGGCCTGTGTGGAATCTCTCGTGCTTCAGGAGCTCTGCGTGGGAATAGAAACCCTTCCCACAGTCAGAGCACAGGTACGGCCTCTCGCCTGAATGAGTCAGCTCGTGTCTGATCAGAGTCGCCTTGTAGACAAAACTCTTGTCACACTGCGAGCAGCTGAAGACGTTCTCCCTGGTGTGGCAGCGCTCGTGCTTCTTCATGTTGCGTTCTCTCTTGAAGCTCTTGCCACAGAAGGAACACATAAAGGGCATCTCCTCTGAGTGGATCTTCATGTGGCTCAGCAAACCGCCCTTGTAGAGGAATCCCTTGCCGCACTGTGTGCACATGTGCGGCCGCTCTTTCTGATGGATGCGTTGGTGTGCGGTGAGAGCCGCCCGGTAGGCAAAGCTCTTTCCACAGTTGCAGCTGTGCACTCGTTCTTCCTGGTGAGTCTGGAGGTGCCGGTTGAGGTAGCTGGCACAGCTGAAGCCCAGGTCACAGCGGGGGCATTTGTGAGAACGCTCCGCCTTGTCAGCATCTTCGCCGTGGGTCTTCAGATGCCTCACCAGTGCTGACTTCCAGGCGAACGCCCGGCCGCACTCTGAACACAGGTACTCACCGTTCTCCATGTGGGTGCTCTTGTGCTCCCTCTGAGCCACCAGTGACTTGAAGAGCTCCCCGCAGATCAGGCACTCGTACTTGCGTCCAGATTTGTGCGTCTGCTTGTGCCGCTCCAGTGACTGTTTGAAGGAGAAACGTCGTCCGCACTGAGAGCACAGGAAGGGCTGCTCGCCTGTGTGGATGCGCTGATGGGCTTTTAGTAAAGACTGGAACTTGAAGCTCTTGTCACAGTCTGAACAACTAAAACGTCCTTCTTCATCCGCAAGAGGCTGAAGAGACGGTTTGTCCTCCTCAACCTCAGAGTGAACACTGTCAATGTGCTGCTGGACCTGCACCTCTTCTGAATGGTGGAAGGAGCACTTCGGACAGGAGAAAGCAGCTGATGACACATCTCCGACAGAACCTTATGGAAAAAAACAAAGTTATAAGAGACTGAAATTAACATTATGCTAAGAAATGGTAAAATGACTGAATAAAGGGTTTTTGCATTTTTTACTATTATGTTTTTTAGTGTAATTAAAAGATTTCCAGGACTCCACAGATTACAGGCTGGAAATTAAAAATTACCTGGTAAATAAACAAATAATGCTGAAATAACCTGTATTGACACATTCAACTCTATATGAAAATAATGAAAAAAAAAGATATATAAAGATAATATTCCTATTTCTGCAGATAAATGTGCAACTATTATACCCAAGCTGCTATCTCATTTTGTTGTTTCTGATACTGACATAGGTTACTCGGCTGTTGTCTTGAAGTGTGTTAGCCTTATTTAGCATTTATAAGAACTATATAACCATTTAATAATGGTTTATAACAGAATATAACGTCGTTGTGAGGAGATACATTAGTAGTGTAATGCATAGTATTTGTCAACAATTATTATGTCTCCTATGAAGACATTATTACAAGTGTGTTTTACTATAATGTCATTCATCAATCCATTTATACACCAGTCTCTGCTTGTGCTCAGGAAGAGTTATAGTTGACAAATACAAAAACCCACTTATATAAGCTTACAACTACATTATAGTGTGTTATAAGAGGCAAAGTAAAGTGCTGTCTATTGAAGAACTTACAGTAATTATTATACAATTATGTTTATATTTTGCAACCATTTAACTTTCAAACCTTTTAATAATATACAGGCCTATCTTGGGATATCTTGATCTTGAAGCAGGAAATTTCATGAGAATGTGAATAATTAACTGCTTGCTATTTCAACACACTTAAAGGGCTTGTATAAAGAAAGTGTCTGAATTCTTTAAGTCAACTTATTTTATATTTTGCTCACATTATGTAAAAGTTACAGGGAAAATATTAGTTTCTTTTTTTAAAGGATTTTCAATTTTTTTTCAACTAATTATTTGCAATGTCATTCTACTTATGGACTCTGATTACATAACTGTTGTGACAAGATATAATATGTGTAAAAATGAACACTCACTTTCATCACTGTCCTTCGATGAGACCATGGGCGAGCCGTAAGAGTGCTCTGCACTGTTAAAGAGAAGAGTCACTTTGATCAGCCTGATAGACAACAGTAGCCTATGTAACAAAACATATAACTCAGATATGGAGTTTCTATCATGCAGTGTTGATTGCAGAGAAATGCTACCATAACGACATGTAAATCTGTAAACTATGTGTCATTGTGCAAGAACAAAAACAGAACTGTGAGAAACATCTAGGGTGGTTAATGAGGCCGGATATTTTTACCAACTGAGAGGCAAAGGCTTCAGGGCTGGAGGGTTGACTTGGGTGATCTTCTTTCTCTTAGTGGCCATGCGCTTCTGTAAATTTATCACCTGAATCTTCATGGTCGGCTTGCGTTTGCGCCCACTCGTGCGAACTTTCACTGCAGAGATGACTTGATTAAGAAGTTCAGGGACCAGGCCTCCAGACTCACAGGTGGGACCCTCACTGCTCTGAATTTCTGCATTCTCTGGATCCTGATCACTATATTGCAGCTGGCAGTCCGGCTCCACAAGTTCAACAGGATCCTCACAGACATTTTCATCACTTATAAAAACCTCTAGCTCATCGTTTTGGTTCTCCGTGGGCTCGTCAGTGCTGTGATCATCAGTGTGAGTTTTAAGGTGCCTTGCAAGTGCTAGCTCCCAGGTGAACTTCCTGTTGCACTGCTGGCATATGTAAACACCGTCTTCCATGTGTGTTTGCTTGTGCTCTGTGCGGGCGGACAAGGAGTGGAAGGTCTCGCCGCAGATGACGCAGTCATACTTGCGTCCAGTTTTGTGCGTGTGTCTGTGTCTGTCGAGGGACTGCCTGAAAGAGAAGCAGCGACCGCAGTCGTTGCAGCGGTGGGGGCGCTCACCGGTGTGGATGACCCTGTGGGCGATGAGTGAAGAGGCAAACTTAAATTTCTTCTCACAGTCTGGGCAGTCATGAGGTCCCACAGAGATTTTGTGTTGGGAGGAAGCTGAGTCGTCCCTGTTTACTTCTGGATGGATGATGTTTATCAAACCACTTCCAACCTTTTGTGTCACCTCTCCCCCTCCTTCACCAACTTCCTCTTCCCTGGTCGTCTCCTCAGGAAGCACAACCAGCGAACCTTCAGCCGCTGTGCTGCCGTCTGTTCCTTCATAGCTGTGCTCTCCCATTACCACCTCGATGTCGGTGCTTGTGCCTAATTCAACCTCTGCATAATCTGTCACTGTGATTATTTCAACTGCCACATCATCCACAAATGATACAGTGTGTGTTTCATCGCTGAGGCCTTGCAAAGGACTTGACTGGTTGGATTGTTCTGTAGTTTTTGCCACTCTGCTTGGAGCAACTGCAGAGAGGGAGGAAAGGATGCTGTCTCCCATGCTAGAAGGTGGAACTGCACAAGAAAGGACAAGAATTAAACATAAGTTACTGTCATAGAGTTGTGTCTTCAACAATGAACTTGAAATACAATGGTAGTGGTTACAGGAAATGACTCACCATGTTGCTCTAAATTCCCTAGATGTTTGTGGTGCTGGAGTAAATTTTTCAGGTCTGTGGGCTCCGAGACTGAATGCACACAATCCTCCAACACAGAGCATTCAGCTCCAAGCCAGGAGGCAGTCTGAGGGAAATAGATGAAAACATACATCACACCAAATCCAATATAATCAAAAGGTTTGAGTTTCAAAAATAGGACACCAAGACAATCGGATCTGCAAAAACACCTGTAAGACATATTACTACCCAATAATGTTCAATAACATCATGTTAAAAACAGACATGATGTTACTGAACATTCAGTATGTAGTAACAGTATTGTAATCCCTAGTAGTGGTAGTTTATTACATGAGATGACTATTTAAGTTGTTTCTTTGTTCTTTCTTTGTTTCCTTTTTACATGTGACAGTGTGATACACGTTACCATTTTATCAAAAATCACCTGTTCAAGGTCAGGAACTGGCAACAGCTGAGCCAGTCGACAGAGAAACTCCCAGAACAGTGTCTGCAAATCACGGTCATACTGTGGTCCATACTCTGCAGGAAAGACCTCCTAAGAAAAAATAAGACATTGTGATAAAAGCTATTTTACTGCAACAAAAATACAAAGTTGTCATTTGCCATTTGTACCACCTGCCAGATTCCACAACTGAATGAGTGCAACTGACAAAATTCAACTTCATGGAAAATCAATTTGGCTTATTAACCTATACAGACAAGTAACAGTTGGATTTGGCTCCACAGAGGTGTGAGTAATAGCTGCTGTCTTACCAAGAAAAAGTCTCGTCTCTCTTCAGGATCTTTGACCAGAATGTGGATCAACTCAAGAAAGTTACCTGCTACTTCCTCTTCTTCTTTCATCTGCAATATGGGCATAAACATTACACGTTACAGGTTTACAACTGGATAGCCCTGCCAATAACAGCATTCATTTAAATACACAAATACTGAACTAAGAAGCACACATTTAGGGTCACAAAAATAAAGCGGACACACTTACATCTACCTGGGTGGGGTGCTGTGATTTAATCTTGTCCAAGTGAGATAAGATTAAGTCATTTTCCACAAGCTCGTCACGTCGGCACAACTCAAGGATGTACTATATCAGGAAATAAATCAAACAATGCATCAAAGTAATCCTGTATTCTCACATTAGCCGTCTATAAATATCTATCATTTCATACATCTTATAAAGCAAAATATTACATTATACATTATTGTGTTCTACACCTGTACCCACCCTAGCTCTTAATCCCAGGTTCAGTTGTGTCCTGTACTTGTACATTAGCAGCTCTGGGACCATGTCCATTACTAAAGAGACAAACTCTGCCACTTTCCAGTAGTTCATGACATCCTGTTTCTTCAGCACCTGCCACATAGAGGCTGTCATGAGCTGGAAAGGTGGGACCAAAAGGCGCAGTGATGCCAAAGGTAAGGTGTCATCTGAAAAACAAGAACAAAAGCAGGAGCTCACCTTTCTGTACCATTTATCCTTATTGAAGTGCATGGGACTGTGATGATGGGATGTCTTATCAGGACTGTTATTTACAGCTATACTCTCAGTTATTTCAGGTCACTCTATGAAATTTGAATTTAATGTGATAATTGGTATTTAATGTTTTTAAACTGCATAAGTCGTCCAAACAATAATGAGAATAGAATAAATAGTAAGAAAATAACCAATGATCATCTCTAATTATTGTTAAGTAGGAGGACACAGCAACAGCATTGTGTTTTGAATGCAACCCTACCGGAAACACTGAGTGTATGTTCAATAACCGCAATGTTCTCAAACTCAGTTAGCTAACTTTTACCATGTTTGTACAGTATGCACAGAGAGCAGACATATTCATACCACAACAAGCATGCAAAATTATTTCTGACGCATGACATACCATGTCATGGTAAAGTTACAACGCGAAAATAAGGAAGTAAGCTAGTTTAGCTGTAATAGAAGCACTGACAAAAGTCACCGTTAGCTGAACTATCGCCAACTCAAGATATAAAAAATGCTTATATTCGCGCTAAGTTTTTCGATGAACCAACCTTTGGAAATGGCCGTGAAAACACCTGAGTCCATCTTCTTACACCGTTGTTGAAAAGTTTGACTAGCTGCGGTTAGCTGCTGTTAGCCGGGTGGCTAGCTCCCCAGCCACAGCTGACTACAATTAGCAGTTACTGGATGACACAGATCCCACTGAGGAGGCTGTACATCTGCAGCCGCAAAACTTCTCCTCTAAATTATGAGAAGCGTCCCATTTAAATGTGTAAATAACCCAAATAAGCATTTACACGGTGCTAATTATTTGTTGCCCAGGGCTTTTTCTTCTTCTTTATTTAAATTTTACGGCAAGTGACATTTTATTTCTTTCTTTTTGTTATCGCCATCTGCTGGAGATTCTTTGCATCACTTCTTTACTCCCTCAAAACAATGACTCACTTTTCACTGTCACTGCCTTTATCATGGTTCAAAAAAACACAATTTCCGAGTTGAGACGGGTTTTTGTTCTCTTTTGTTTTTTTACTTCCTGATTGTTTTTCAGTTTTTTTCATGATTTTTTTTCTGATATATTCCCCCTCAATTATTCGGTAAGGTAGTAAATGTGCTCTTTTATTTAATTTCTAGCTCAATAAATGTTTCACTTGTTTAGGCTTGTATTTATTCAGGTCCATGTACTGTATGTCACGCTCCTGAACGCTGTGCCTACAGTAGGTAGGCTACTTGACGTCAGTTCACAGTGCTGGTTCGGACTGACTGGTACATGTTCAGCTCCAGTCTTCATGGAGTCCTCTCGGTGTGTGTCCCGGTCTCTGGAGCGCTTACCTTTCAACAACACCGCGCTGAAAAAGCTGCCGGTGGATGACTCAGAAGAACCCGGGTCCCGGACTGTCCCTGCGGCGTGTTTCTCCCGGATTAGGACTCTTCAGCCCCTGGTCCGTCCACACTTCGTGGCCCTGTCCCACTCAGCGCTGGCTCTGCTCGGCCTGAGTGCGCAGGATGTGCTGAGTGATCCTCTGGCTCCGGAGTACTTGAGCGGCTCCAGGCTGCTGCCGGGCTCCCAGCCGGCCGCGCACTGTTACTGCGGCCACCAGTTCGGGCTGTTTGCGGGTCAGCTGGGAGATGGAGCTGTGATGTACCTGGGGGAGGTAGAGTCGGGCACCCACGGTCGATGGGAGATTCAGGTCAAAGGTGCAGGAGTCACACCTTACTCCAGGTAGATTTAGCTTTGTACTGACATTTCAATCAATTCTTTTTTTTTTAATTATTAGACTGTAAGTGTTTTAATTCATGCATTATGCAAACAACACATTTTAATTACACCTCAGGAACAGGATATAGCTGTGGGAAGAAATAACTATGTTAACATTTTCTCTCACCTACTAAGAATAAGATAACTCAAGCAAGGGACAAAGCAAAATATCCATAAGCCTTATACACCAGAGGCATGTGAATGCATTAACCCAGGAAGAGCTGCTTAAGAGCTTAGCTGCTTGGCACGCATCAAACACGTCCCCCACTGCTGAGCAGTTGTGCGCTTAGTTTCCCCAGCTTATTGGCCCTGTTAAACACACAGAGGTATGGTGTGATGCAGCACATTTGCCAGTGCTTTATCAGACATAGTGTCAGGATAGTTTGTAATTTTAGATATTAGAAGTTTTGGGCCAAAGTTTTACCATTTAATGTATGTTTTGCCCTAAAAAGTAGAGGGAATTTTTAATGTAGAACATCACTGGCATTTAATCATGAACGTTGATTCTTGACCTCATGAATAGTAGATTTACAAAAAAAGAAAATCTTCTCCAAATATCCCAGTCCTCAGTAGATGGAGTTTGTTCAGTGGACCTTAAGTTAAGCCTTTTTTTTTTAATTGAAGCTTTTTCCATCAGAGGAAAACTCACAAGTTTTGCTTACTGAGACAACTACTACCATAATATGACCTGTGCCCAAGATGACACTTTTAATTCACTGGAAACAGTTGGAGGGGAGTTTGCAGGTTGCTTTATAGTTGCTGAGCAGTCAGTCACACAAGATCATTTTTTAAATGTCAGTAACCTGTTAATTAGACAATGTTGACGCAGCAAGTGTGGAAAAACCCTTACAATTGTTTAGTAGGAATACAAATACCAGCCAGTACTAATGTGTGACAACCACTTGTCAATTTCCTCAGAGATGGTGATGGCAGGAAGGTGCTTCGCTCCAGCATCAGAGAGTTCCTGTGCAGTGAGGCCATGGCTGCCCTCGGGATACCCAGCACCCGTGCAGCCTCCCTCGTGACCTCTGACCTCTATGTCAGCAGAGATCCACTCAACCGTGGACAGCGCATTCCTGAGCGCTGCTCTGTCGTCCTGCGTCTCGCTCCTTCCTTCATCAGGTCCAAAGTGCTTTCAGACTTTGATCAGTACAAAAACCTCCTGTCAAAGTGGTATCCGGAAAAATGGGGAATTTTGATTAAGTCTCTGGTTTTTTCGGTTTTTAAAGGTTTGGATCCTTTGAGATCTTTCAGGGCCGAGATGAATTCTCAGGCCTGCAGGGTCCCAGTGCAGGGCGGCATGACATTCGCTCTCAGCTGCTGGATTACGTCATTGAGACTTTCTATCCTTGCATTCAGCAGGCTCATAGCAACCGCAAAGACCGAAATACAGCTTTTTTCAGAGAGGTGAGACATGAGGTACTTGTTGACAAAATGTTATACAGTTATACACTTCTCAGGATTCAGTCTCTGTTTTAAAAGGTTTAAGGTCAAATTTGACCTGTTTATTCCCAGGTGATGATACGAACTGCCAGGTTAGTGGCCAAGTGGCAGTGTGTTGGTTTTTGCCACGGCGTCCTTAACACAGACAACATGAGCATCTTGGGTCTGACTCTGGATTACGGCCCCTTTGGTTTCATGGACAGGTAAGCTGCTGAAAGTGGAAGTCGGTGTCTTTTTTTGTACTTGACCAGAGTGTCCTCTTTATGTTTTGATTACTCACAATCTGAAAAACCAGTCTTCTGTTCCACTAACTGAGGTTAAACTCAAAAAATATATATTTCAGCTTTGCCTCAGTAAAATCGTTCCAAAAGTATGGTTACAATTTGTCTTGATATTCAATAACTAAAAATAAGATTATTTACTGTATATACTGGTAGAACAATGTAATGTCAACGAAAGCTCTCCTGCCTGTGTGTCAGATTTGATCCAGATTTTATCTGCAACGCCTCAGACAAAAGAGGACGGTACTCATACCAAGCCCAGCCGTCTGTGTGCCGCTGGAACCTGGCTCGCCTGGCTGAAGCGTTGGGCTCTGAGCTCAATGTAGCTGAGGCCGGAGCTATCCTGGATGACTTCATGCTCACATATGAAGCCTTCTACCTGAGTATCATGAGGAAGAAGCTGGGCCTTGTGAGAAAAGAGGAGGCAGAGGACAGCGAGCTCGTATCGGACCTGCTGCGTGTCATGCACAACACTGGTACAAAGACTTGGAAGATGTGGAAGATAATTGGAACGTTTTCTATATCCTCTGCTTCTTGTAATGCCATTGTGGTACTATATTCTCGTGCCTTTCCAGGTGCAGATTTCACCAACACCTTCCACCTGCTGAGCTGTGTCCCCTGGCCTGAGGAGGGCGACAGTGAGAGGGCAACACTGGGCCCTGTAGTGGACCTCATCCTGCAGCAATGTTCCTCTATTGAGGAGCTTAAGGTGGCTAATAAGCCAACTATGAATGACCGGTGAGGGGGTGTATGGTGGTTGGATATATGTGTGTTTCTTAATATAGCAGTTATAAATAGAACATAAAGTTTCTCTCTGCCCCACCATACACTCCCAGTGAATGTACATCTAATCATGGCTGAGCAGAGTTATTTCAAATTATTAAATCTTTCTTGTCATCTCATTTGTTTTTCTTTCATGTGCTAGCATTTTGGGGAAAAGGCTTACCAGGAGAATATGTAAGTTAAATGTGTGCTTTGTGGCACCTGGTAGGAGTATGTAGGAGGTAATTGCAGGTTTAAATGGAACAGCATCGAGGACTAGAGCCAAATGTAACATCAACATCAAGCATTTTTCTTTTTCCGCATTTATATCTCTGTTTCTAGTGAACTGGCGATGATTCTGTCCATGGCACAAACCAACCCAGCCATGTTTAGCATGGTGTCAGACAGGCCAGGTGTGGCCCAGCAGCTGGAACGGATGGGCCGGCTGAAGGAGCTGCTTGAGACAGATCAAGATGAGCTCAAGGAAAAGCAGCGTGATGACTGGATTCACTGGGTTAGCCGATACAGGTAAGAAAAGAAAAAAAAAAACTAAACCAGTGGAAAGAGAAGCACTGTGGGAACCACAAGTAACATGTTCTATAATGTGATTGATATTGAAAATTTGGGATAAATAACAGGCAGATAGCTGAATCTGACTTTTAAATTTACTGACCTTTAATGATTCTAATATTTCATTTTCTATATGCACAGAAACTGAGAACATTTCTACATTTGTGTGTGCACAGTATAAAAATAGGGAAAAAGCTCACTTCCTGTTATCTCTTGCCAATTTAAAGTGCTAAATGTAAGTTGTCTCTGCCACTGCACATGGTTTCTTGCTGTGGTTAGCACGCTGACTTCAGCAGAAGAAAACAAGACTTAAAATTAGTGTTGCTTTCCACTGCTGGAGACAGCTCTTGGTGAATAAGGGAATGAAGTTTGATGCTGAACTCAAGTAAACAGTTGTTAATGCTAACATTGGCTATGTAGCGGTCACAAAAACTTACATATAGCACCTTTAAAGCTTCACTAATCAAAATTTTATACTAACAAACAATCAAATGTTTGTTAATGTGTCACTCATAGTGATGAACCCACACAAAAGTATCACCTGATTCTGAAGTTTCCCTCAGTGTATTAGCATCTTTTAGCTCATTGTTTTAGTTTTCACTCTCGCAGCTCTCACCAGCCTTGTTTCCGGTCGCAACAGGCAGCTGTTTTCAACAAAAGAACAGCAGGCAAAGTTAACTACAAACTGATGAACACGGTGGAGCATTGAGCAGCTAAAAAGCAGCATGTTTTTCTTAAGCAGTTCTTAAAGACCAAAGGAGCTAAAAGGAGAGTGAAAGGTAGACTTACATTCACCTGATGGCAAAAAACAGGACTCATATTTAATGCTAATGTTAATGCTCTGTGATAACTTGTCGCTCTTCTGTTTATAGCCTATTGCCCCATGAGCTTTTAAAACTGCTGCTTTTAACACTGTGTCTGCTGGTCGAATGAACAAGAGCTAAGACAGGACTGCTTTTGGAATTTTTCTTTTGCTGAAATAACAGGAAGCGTTTTGCCAAGGAGTGTGATGGCACAAGTGACTTGTCTCTCATCAAAAAGGAGAGGCTCAGTGTGATGAACAGCCACAATCCCCGGGTCGTCCTACGCAACTATATCGCCCAGAATGCAATTCAGGCTGCAGAAAAGGGAGACTTCTCTGAGGTCAGGATACCTTTAAAAGTTTGACTGATTCACATCCAGGTGCATTAAAGCAGCAACTATCTACACTGCCACATGGTGGAAATTGGTTATCAATCTTTATTTCAAATACTGAATCAGAAAATTATGTCTTCTGCCACACAAACAGCTGTAAAAACAGGCAGTGATACACTAAGGAGGATTAATTTTTCAGTAAAATGCAACTGACAGGTTATTGTTATTGTCATCATCAGAATATGACATTTTCAGTAACACTGCATGGGCACATGTCTCTGTATATAAAACAGCACATGGCTTCAGCTACTGGGAGGAGTTAGGAACCAGCTGGAAGCAGCATTAACTGCCAAATCTAGTGTTACTGGTCTTGTGGGCTCAGTGACTTAACTGTCAGCGCACATGCCAATGCCTTATATGAGCAGTGAGAGCAAAGAAGATAAAGTCAGTGAATCTGTGGTCATCAGTGGTCCAGATACGCAGCAGCTGCTTTAATGGGTTTACAATGCTGTTTTTCATATTTGTATGATATTTAAATTCTTTTTTATGCCATTTAAATCATAGTTTTCCTTCAATGATCAATCATGGTTAACTGTACCTTTGTTCTGTAGGTCAACAGGGTCCTCAAAACTCTGGAGAAACCATATTCTAACACATTTGGACTGGAGTCTTTGGATGGACCCAGTGCATGTGGGCAAAAGGAGCAGAAAGGGAGGGATTTGACTGTTGGCTATGACAGGAAACCTCCTGCCTGGGCACAAAGAATTTGTATCACCTGATCCTCATAAAGCCTCCTGGGCAGCTGAAGGAGGGAGGTCTGTTTTCACTGGTTGACCACACAGACCACAGTGTTACTACTGCTACTGTTGCCGGTCTCCATTTCCACCTCAGACTATCTCTCCTGCTTCCTGAAGGGAGGATGATATGTAACCCAGTGTGTTCCAGTGTTCATCAGTATGGCCAAAGATCAATGTTTGTGTGCTGATATGCAGTTTGTAAAGTATAATACAACTGCATCATGGTCAAAGTCCAATAAACCAGTTCAGTTCAGATCTGTTGAAGATACATAGACAGTTTTCCTGAGGCTGATTTTGATGGGAATATTCTGAGTATTAATCTACTGTAACATGGAAACAAATGGAATGTGCTGACACCTACAAGAAATCAATGGATATGCTGATGAAGTTTGACGGCTCAGACGACCAGTCACACAATGACCTGTCTGAGTCTGAAACACCAGGAACACACTGACGTCAATCATTTACAGTTAGTGGATTTGTCACAAATATGAGCAATTCAAAATATTTACCATTTGTTTCTTAAACCTACTATAGATAGAATGATTTGGCATTTTGTGTTTCTCAAAGCTTGAAATAAAAGATCATGTGTTGTTCATCATTAAGTCTGTTATCAACTGTGATGATTTATGTGTCTGTTTTAAACCTGCACATATTTAAAGCCCTGAAAACCTATTTTCTCAATCTATGACAAACAACAGTTACTTGTGCATTTGTATTAACTGCAAATTTTTAATTGAAGTATATAATTATGCTAAGTACACAGAGTTGTTTGAATTAAAGCACCCACTGTAGGATTTATCATTTATTTCTTTTATTGACATTGTATTGGCAGCTGTTGCTATTAGCACAGTGCTAGTTAGCTGCTTCTCTTTCTTCTTCTCTCATGTTTCTTATTCTCTTCTGTCAAACCACTTCCCAGAGGTTTTCAGGAAGTACAAATGTATGCTGGTATCTGTTGACATTGCACTGCTGACAGTAAAAACCGAGCTGCGCCAACAGCCTCCTACAGTATATGTATTCCAGCTCATCAAAAAGACATGAGGGCTTTCCTGCTGTGTCATACTCCTGCAGCTCAGTTTGGGGGGACCTGCAGGCCCTTTTTATTTTGATTTGTCTGGTCACCAAAACAAGAATCTCAATGTGGATGTGACACAGAATGAAACTGAAAATACTGCATAATGGACTGCCTACTTCTCTCACAACCCTCTTCACTATTATGCTTTTCATAAGCAGCCCCCATCCATGCCTATCACGCACTTGACTGGACTGGCTCAACTAGTTTAACAGTATATGGCATGCAAACAACTGCACTCATACGGAAAGCTGTTAAGAGGGGCAGGAACAATGCATTTATAGTAAAACAGCAGTGACATTGCTTTCTGTACTGATTACAAAGGCTGTAAATCTTAGAGCTATGTGACATGATGACGACAGCTACACCAGCCCACATCAGCTCAGAACTGAAACTGTTGCTGTGCATTTAAACCTTGCTTCAGACAGAGGATGGACGCACAACAACCGGACAGGCTGATCACATGACCTGCATGGAGAAAAGATAATGGCGCGTGTCCCACAGCTGCTCTTGGAAACTTTAGAAGAGCTGGTTGCTGAACAGCTGAGGACCTTCCAGTTTTTTCTTTTCAGTGGTGTTCTTGAAGGATTCCCACATATTCCAAAGTCTCGGGTTGACGGCGTGGACAGGCCGGGCACTGTGGATGTTTTGGTGCAGACATATGGCTACGATGATGCTGTTACTGTCACAGTGGATATACTGGTGAGGATGAAACTAAAACTGTGTGCTGAAACATTAAAGAAGAAGTACGATGAAGGTAAAAGCATGATTAAAAAGTAAAAATTGGCTGTTTAGTTAGTTTGTAAGACAAAATAGCTTGGCACGTAACACCTATTCCCTCTCTGTCTTTATCAGTTCCAAGCAATCAACCTGGCAAAGGTAAGAAGCTAAACAGACACATTAACAAGTTCAAACTCGTATACCCATGTACAGACAAGGTTGAACTATACAAAACTGAAACTTTATTCTTTGAACAGAAATCGACCACCATGCAATCCGAGACAAACTTAAATCCACTCTGAGGGAAAAGTACCAAAATATTTATGAGGGGAATGCAGATGAAGGGGACACTGTCTACCTCAACAAAATCTACACTGAACTGCGCGTGATCGAAGGAGCTTGGGGAGGCTTCACTGAGGAGCATGAGGTCAGACAGCAGAGGTCCAGCCATGTGACAACAGAAGAAACATCAATTAAGGTTGGCAACATTTTCAAACCCAAGCCCAACCAAGAGAAGCACATCAGAACTGTGCTTACCCAGGGTATCCCTGGAGTGGGTAAAACTGTCTGTGCACAGAAGTTTACCCTGAGCTGGGCAGAAGGAGATGAAAATCGGGACATCACCTTCCTCTTCCCACTTCCTTTTCGTGAACTGAATCCCAACATAGGCGAAAAAGAACACAGTCTGATGCAGCTGCTTCACCAGTTCTTCCCTGAGATGAAACCTCTTGAGACTCTGGGAACAGAATGCAAAGTCTTGTTCATCTTTGACGGCCTTGACGAGACTCTCCTGCCTTTGAACTTCAAACACAACAAGGTCTTGAGAGATGAGACAGAGCCAGCTTCACTGGACGTCCTGATCACAAACCTTATCGCGGGCGATCTGCTTGGGAATGCCCTCATCTGGATCACATCCAGACCTGCAGCGGTCGGCCGTATCCCTCGAAAACACATCCATCTGTGGACGGAAGTCAAGGGCTTCGCCAATGAACAGAGGGAGGAATACTTTAAGAGGCGTTTGTGTGACGATAACCTCGCCTTTAGAATCATCAACCATGTGAAGTCATCAAGAAGCCTCTACATCATGTGTCAAATACCGGTCTTCTGCTGGATCACAGTGACTGTGATGAAGAAAATGTTGCGCGACAACTTGACAAGAGGCATGCCCAATACCCTGACAGAGATGTATGCATATCTCCTTCTCTGCCAGACAGACAGGATGATAGAAGGGCACTACCCAATAGAAAGTGTCAATGTAGTCTTGAAGCTAGCAGAGCTGGCGTACCGTCAACTGGAGAAGGGCAAACTGATCTTCTACGAGGCAGATCTGAAAGAATGTGGCATGGACGTCAAAGAGGCAACCATCTACTCAGGAGTTTGCACCGAGGTATTTATGATGGAGGGCACGAGGAGGCGAGAAGTCTTTAGCTTCGTCCATTTGACCATTCAGGAGTTTCTGGCAGCTGTGTATGCCCATCATTCCTACATGCACGGAAAGGATAATGTCGTTCTTGGATACCTGAAAAGGATGTCTACAAGATGGCTCCCCAAGTCTGTGTTCAATTTTCACAAAACCGCCATTGAAAAAGCCTTGGAGAGTAAGGACGGACGCTGGGACCTCTTCCTTCGCTTTCTCATGGGACTGTCGCTGAAGTCAAACCAGGAGCTCCTGGGTAGAATACTTCATTTGGAAGCAGAAGGAGAGGAAGATGTGGCAAGAACTGTCCAGTTCATCAAGGACAAGATCAAAGAGGAACCAGAGGCCAAGCTCAACCTCTTCCACTGTCTGAGCGAGCTCAAAGAGGAGTCTTTGGTGCAGGAGATCCAGAATTTTGTGAGTTCTGGGAGGCTCGCAGCCAAAAAATTGACTCCAGTTCAGTGGTCTGCGCTCACATTTGAACTGATGACGTCAGAAGCAACAGAGGAAGAGTTCGACTTGAAGAAGTACATAAGATCTGAAGAAGGAGTGGCAAAGCTGCTGACAGTCATTACTTGCTCCACACGTGCTCTGTAAGTTCACCCACATGACAAGACATGTTCCTCTTGCATGCTGGTTTTAGTTGCTCTCTGAGCTGCAAACAAAAGTGATTTCTGCTCATTACCCCAGCTACTTTTGGACTTTTACCTCTGGCCTGACCACTGTCTTATCTCTTTTCTCATCCCTTGTTTTTCTAGGCTAAATCACTGCAACCTCACTGAGAACTGCTGTGAAGATTTGGCCTCTGCACTGAGCTCAACCTCCTCTCACCTGACAGAACTGGACCTGAGTGACAACAGCCTGGGGGATTTAGGGGTGAAGCTGCTTTCTGTTGGATTAGGAAGTCCACACTGTAAATTGAAGAAGCTAAGGTCTGTAGCACTTACAATAACAATATTGCACAATACATCCCCTGCAACAGTAACAACAGTAACAAGCTACTTCTTGTGGTTGTATGAGTTGTGGGTTAGATTTAATGCTATTGAATGCAGTTTTATAGGCCAGGATAATTACACAACTTCCTATTTTCCTTTTTTAGATTACATAAGTGTGAACTGGAAGGAGACTGCTGTAAGGCACTGGCTGGTGTTCTTGGCACAGAGTCAACCCAACTTACAGAACTGGACCTGAGTGCTAATGACTTCCAGAAAACAGCAGTAAAGGCTCTGTGTGTGGGACTCTGCAGCCATCACTGTAAACTGGAAACACTAATGTTCGACCTGCTTCTTGCTGACAAACATAAATCTCTTTCTTGGATCTTCTTTAATCGAAGGCAATGTTTTTAAGAATGGTGTTTTTTGGTAAATACTCTTCTGCAGGTTGAATGATTGCAAGCTGAAAGACAGTTGCTGTGAAGACTTGACTTCAGTTTTAAGCTCAGGCTCATCTCACCTGAAAAATCTTGACCTGAGCAACAACAGTCTGAAAGATTCTGGTGTATGTCTGCTTACTGCTGGACTGGGGAGACTGGAAACACTCAGGTCAGTATGAGCTGCCAAAGTGCCAAAGTGCAGCCATGATCACATGTTCACCATCATTATGTTGCTGTAATTTCATTTGAAAATTTCCTCCACCTATCAGGCTTGGCTGGTGTGGCCTAACACAGAAATGCTGCAATCACATTGGCTCAGCTCTCAGCTCTGACTCCGCCCACCTAAAAGAGCTGGACCTGAGCGGGAACAACCTGCATGGTCCAGACATTCAGCTGCTGTGCGCTGGACTGAGAAGTCCACACTGTAAACTGGAGAAATTAAGGTGAGGTCACTCAGGTTCAGTTGTCACAAAAAAAATATATTTAGCACAGTTCTACATGGACCTTTAATTTGTGAAGTAATAGGGTATAACTTTTACTAAAATAAGCATCAACTGCAGTTCAGCCTAACATTTTAACTTTGTGTGGCAACACCAGATATTAAAGACATTTTCTCACCCTCAGGTTAAATGAAGGCAATCTACAGAAATGCTGTGCTGATTTTGCCTCAGTTCTCAGCTCGGATTCCTCTTACCTGCAAGCCCTCGATCTGAGCGGGAACGACCTGCAAGACTCAGAGGTGAAGCTACTCTCTGCAGGACTGGCAAGTTCACACTGTAAACTGGAGACATTAAGGTGAGCTGCCTTTACATTATCTCTAGCATAACACAATCTTTTTGTCCTCAAATGTCAATAGTGCATGTAGTTACCCTAGATAATAATAATCATAGTAATGTAATAATTAATCATAAGATATAAAAAAATCTGCACTATAAATGTAGAAATGTCAAACCAAACAAGTAAGAAACTCTGTAATCCTCATGTCTTCATAATACAAAAAAGTAAACAATGTGTTTTTGGATGAACACAGGCTGTCGTTCTGCGGAGTCACTGGGAAAGGCTGCACTTATTTGGCTTCAGCGCTGAGCTCCAACCCATCCTGCCTCAGCCAGCTGGACCTCAGCTACAACTTCCTGCAGGACTCTGCAGTGAGGCTGATCTCCGTCCATCGGGACAACCCGCTGTGTAAACTGGAAAAACTCAGGTAAAACACTGGCCCAGTTAGCCTCAGTGGCTCCTGGGTATAACTCACTAGTGGTACCAACGATACAATGAAGAAAAAAAAATACAATCACAGAAATTTCTGAAATACAGACAGTATGGTGGTTCAAGGTTTCATTTAATTACCAAGTTCCCTTTTGGACAGTTTTAGTTTTAGCAGAAACACATGTGATGCACACATGATAAACTGCAGATAGAATAGAAAGCACGATAGACTGAGGAAGCAGGATTCAACATGGTCACATGCTCTACAGTGGACACAATCACATTTTACATATGTACAACATATATGTTTTATATGAATGAATATAAAACTTAATTTCAGTGTGTCTGTTAATGATGAATGTTTCTTATATGTCCACCTGTCTACAGTGTGGAGCACAACGCAGAGTGCTACTTGAAATCAACACTGAAAAACTGTAAGTGATGTAGTTTTACTACATTGTTTTCATTTACTTTCGTTTTAATAAAGAAATGAAGCATTTGTACTGTGGTCTCAATAGCATGTATCCGTCTATCAGTCAGATAGTAACTTTTGAATAGAAATTATTTTGATTATTGAGAGAGATGCATTCATTTAAATTGTATTTTTTAATTCCTTGGTTTGAATATCTAATCGAGCCTCTACCTGAATCTTTGAACTAAGAAAGCAAAATCTATATACCTAAAGATTAGGTTGTGTTTTAAATAATTTTTTCCATCTGCCACCTGAGTTCAGTTTTAGTTTAGTTTAGATTGTGTGCAAATATAAATGTGACATATGAATCCTCTCTCTCCTTTCCACTCTTTTGGTTCGATGTCTTGTACTGTCATTTGTCCAGCAGGTGGGAGGATAGAGATCAAACTGACAGTGTTCTCTGTGATTTTAAACTGGTTTTATGTGGATTCTTTCTTTCTTTCTTTCTTTCTTTCTTGCTTGCTTTCTTTCTTGCTTTCTTTCTTGCTTTCTTTCTGGTCTTTGACCTGAAATGATAGGGGTTGCTGAAATGTTGAGGCCCTGGACCTTATTATGATTATTTACCAATACAGTTATTTAAAAAGGAAGGACACTGAGAAATCCATGTGTATGTCTTTTACAGATGCATGTACACTGACGTTTGATGCAAAAACAGCTGCCAAGTCTCTCTTCCTGTATGATGGGGGAAAGCAGGTGACATGGGTCAGGGAGAGACAGCAGTACCCGGATCACCCCGAGAGGTTTGAGAGTGTCGACCAGTTGCTCTGTCTCCAAGACCTCACCCGGCGCCACTACTGGGAGGTGGAGTGGCGGGGACGCTGGGTGGATGTCGCCGTGGCGATGAGGGGAATCCGTCGAAGGGCAAGCTCTCACCTCTGTGGGTTTGGCAGAACAGACCAGTCCTGGAGTCTGTACTGCTCTGAGGATCGCTACATCGCTCAGCACAACACCCAGTCTGTGGAGATACCAGCACCTCTGTCTCGCTCCCACAGGGTTGGAGTCTATTTGGACTGGGCTGGTGGCACCCTGTCCTTCTACAGCGTCTCCTCTAGGACCCTTAGTCACCTTCACACGTTCTACAGCACTTTCAGTGAGCCCCTCTACGCCGGGTTTGGGATGGCGGAGGAAGACTGCTCTGTGATAATTTGTACAGAGCAGGGCATGCCACAACTAATTTCTCGCTCAGCTAGTGCAGAAAGAGCTGTTGAGTTTTAAGTGCAGACGATGACAGAAAAGATTTCAGTTTAATGGAGGACATAGTGGACACAGACATAATGCTGGAAAAAGGAGAATTATGAGTTTACAGTCAGGCTCTATGAACTTGCTGATTTCAAACTTCATTTGTAGATGTTGATGAAATGTCATTAAATTTCATTAAAAAGGTTTCTCTCAATAGCCAACTGCAAACTTTCAGCTGTAATTTCCAACATGCACGCGAATGCATCACACACTGACATGCTTTTCAAATCCAATGCAGCCAGTGAAGAAAGGCAAAAATCATCCAACAAGATCCTGATGGCTCTGTGGGGCTGTACAACATGGATGTATTAATAGACTTCTTCAAGCTGCTTGTATTGCAGTTGTTACAATCCCATCTGAAAGATATGGACATTTCAAAAAGCAATAATGCAAATTTGGTAACATTTTTTGGCTGAACCGCAATAGTGGGGCCAGCCCTATAATGGAGGCTGACTGACTTACTGAGTGATTATAGTTCCACTATTGGTCAGCCTAATGCCATGTGACTGAATTGGAGTTTCCCCATTTGCCATTGCCCTTTCAAAATGGTTTGGCGCAAACGGTTTCAATTAGGGCAGCGGTAACAACCTGTAGTGTTGGCTGTGCTAACTGCTAAGCTAAAGAGCCTAGCAGATCTGAATAGCATGTAAACAACAGAAACACCAGCAACTGGAAATGAGACGATTCACTTACTGCAGCACAGTAATAAAAGCCCTGTTAAGTAATAAAGGGTTTCTGTCCACTGAAATGCTAGAAGGCTTTTAATTTGAAACAATTGTGGGAGGTGTTTAGTTTGTATAAGACATTATGCAGTAACTTTAAGATGGTAACCAGGGAGAAATGACCAATTCTATGTTAAACAGAAGTGAATAAGAAAAAAAGACCTGCCTCTAGTACAAGCCTATCTCAAATAAAAATTTGATACCTTCTTCAGGTGAGGTAAATAAAGGCCCCACCCACTTTTTGAGGAAATGCAGTAGTTGAAAGGGAATGAAAAAGTGGAAAAACTAGCTAAACAAGTACTAAGTAAAGGAAATATAAACATCACTATTAAACTATCCAAACCAGAGGGAAAGAGCATCATAAGGAAAAATATCCACACAGTACATGCAAATACAAAATTCATGACAGTTGTACGGAAGCCGAGAAAAAGGTCATACTTGCAAATTTGTTTTTATCCTGTTATATTAAGATAACAAAGCTCGGTATCCCGATATATACACTAAATTGCAGTAACACTCCTCCTTAGCAACAATCCTCAGTAACTCGTTAGCTGACGAGGACTGATCTGAAAATGATCTTGTTTGAAAAGACACAATGTGATTTCTGCCCTTGATTGAAATATTTTCTGATGCATTGATCAATGCATAGTTCGGAAATTTCAGTTTACAGCACTAGAAGTTTCCATCTGCATACTGGTTTGGCACATCTGGTCTGTAATTAACAATGTAATTACAATGACAAAATAAGTTTTGTTATCTCGAGATAACGGGATAATTAGCTTGTTATCTTGGGACAGCAAAAAAATTGTTTTCTGCTGATCAGTCTACCGTTCAATCCGTCTGTGAGATATTTCCCTCAAGACCCCAAATATCAACCTCACGGTGGTTCCAAAAGAAAAGTCCAGTGATCACAAAAGTCACTGATTCATCCTCCAGGCATCATGAATAACCAACAGTTGTCGAAACATTAACAAACATTTTCTTCCAGGGAAGAGTGAATTATTGTAAGTGGAAAGCGAAGCCAATTCTGAGTCTTGTAATGTTATTTTCCTTCAGATGTGGAGCCAGATCAGTGCTGGGAATTAAGCTAGTCTAAATAGCTATGACTATCTGGCAGTGTTACAGTGCTGTAGCTGTGAAAGTTGTGTCACATATTTTGAAAAAAAAGAAAAATGACTGAGGAGGAATGTGGGAAGTAACTGGTAGTGTTGTTGACTCAGTCTGTTGCTCAAGCTTCTGTCTTACTCAGTCTGGTCTGAAAGGAAATGACGGCATTTATGGCAAACATGGAGGAGGTGTGGCAGCTTTAGTCGGTGGATAAAGGTTCGCCTATGTTGTGGAATTTGTGCTGCGATGCAAGGTTCACACAACACTCAGGTAAGTGTTTAAAGAAAGAAAAGATAGATTCTTAATGGTATTTTATTTTTGTACCTAAACTGTAGTTTTCAATTTTACATTTAAAGAAGTAATATTGTTGTACATGCTGAGGGTTGATTAAAAAGTTGTTAAAGATATTTTAAGATATCTGATTGGGACCAAAATGTGACTTTTAAACTGTGAAACTCAGGTGAAAATGAAGAGTCTGGTTGGATACTTTGGGCTCATCTTGGCTTTTCTCTTCAGCTGCACAGGACAGGCTGAGGTAAAAATCAAAACTACAGAAACCTCCCCTCACATCAATGTCTTCTTCTGTACTTGCATGAGTGTAAATCAGATAAAAACATAATGTCTTCTCTCAAGCTCTGGTTGCAATGTCTACCTGTAAGTTGTGTATTTTCACTTCATCAAGTCTCACTTTAAAACTTTCTCTGTGGCGTTGCTAGGGACAGCGGACAAGAGGTCGAGGTACAGAGCATGTTGTTATTGCTTACACTTTACAATTCCATATACTTTACATTAGGAATGTACCTTGTACCACTTTCATATTGACTGTGGCTCATCCTCTTTGTTTTCTCTTGTCATGTACATCTAAGGAACAGACTGCACACAGATCAAGACTCGCTCACCACAAGCATCCAGTGGAGTTTATGCAGTCCAGCCTCCTGGAGTCAAGAAGCCATTCATGGTAATGAATGTGGCATGTTGTGTACAAAGCAATTTGTACTTTAACTAACATTTTGCTAAGCCCTGCCTCCTGCTATGCCTGAGGCTTTCTGGTGGCACACACACAGTTTACCATGACAAAGGTGGCAGATTTCTCCCTCTGAATCTGTTGTTGCTGCCATTTGTATTTAATATGCATGTCAGAAATCAGCCCAACATGTCACTTAACACGTCATGTGATCCTTTCCAAAGCCCTGTAGAACATGTCCCAGTCTCTAGTAAAAGTGTGAGAAAACCTGGTAGCTGGTTTTCCTAACGTGTTTCCTTGACTACCTGTTCAGGTGTACTGTGAGATGCGAGCAGATGGAGGCTGGACGGTGTTTCAGAGACGCAGTGGACAAGCCGTTTCCTTCAACAGGAAATGGGCAGCTTACAAAAATGGTTTTGGAAACATGACAAGTGAGTAAGATAAAACACTGCAGTGTTAACCACTGTGTGTATGTCATGATTAGTTATTATTAAGCCTATAAGAGAGTTTGTGTTTGTTTGAAAGGCTAAGTCTAATTCATGGTGACTGTGACACACCTAACAAAACACATAGTGAATATAAATATCCCATAAATTTTGATTATGGACTCAGTGTACTGTAAAGGTAACACATTACAGCAACAAAGATGTCATCTATTGACAGCAGAAATCCCCTCTTGTCATTGCAACAACTCCTCCAACATTTTTCACCCCTCTGACACGACCCATAGGGGTGTCTCCTGAAATAGTGCCCCTATGGCAGCAGGCGTACCAGACCTTGGTCCAATTGTCCATTTGTTGCCATGGTTATTATAATAACGGTCATGGCTTGGTGTAGGTTTAGGAAACGATCGTGATTTGGGTTAAAATAAGTACATCTTCGACATTAGACAATCTTTGTTGTCATGGTTACAATAATAACAACGTACTTAACTTTGTTTAACGGTCATGGATAACTGGAACAACATAACTACTGCTACTTTCAAATGGGAATCAAACACTGCTCTCTTGTGTCATATTCATCCATCCACCACAACCTCCTCCTGACGTGGACTTTGTCTCTCTTTATACTACGTCACCGCGCTTTTCAATTTACTCCTGTCATAATTACTACGACCACTAGATGTCACCTAGCAACAAAACATAACTATTTGTTGTAATAACCTGCTGCACAGACGACCTATGGGCTGGTTTTGCTGTCCTCCAGACTGCGGAGCAATGAGACAGAAGGTGACAGTCACAGTCCAGCTTTTAATCTAATTGCACTGTGAGGGCGACATGCACATTCTCTAACACATCAGACTATGGTGGCAGCTTCACCTGGAGGAAAGCACTATGAGAGAAAACTCCAATTATAAGCACAAATTGCAAGGTTGAACTTTCACCTGACCCTGAATTCCTGCTGATTCACCCACAGGAAACATAAAAACCTGAATCCTGCAGCAATGATAACTGTTGTTTTGTAAAGGGCCAAACTCTTTGGTACATAGTTTGTTTGTGGAAATTGGTGCATATACATGTCATGGCAATGCTCTGCTGATTCCCTCAGAGGACCACTGGCTCGGTCTGGAGAAGGTTTCCTCTGTGACCAAGGACAAGACCAAGAAGTGGACCCTTAGGGTGGACTTGTGGGACCATGAAGGTGGCACTGCTTTTGCGGAGTACCGAAACTTTCGACTGGGAAATGAGAAAACAGCTTTCAAACTGAATGTGGGGAAATACAGTGGAAACACAGGTACTGCAGCCGTTTTAACTGCTGCTCTTTAGCTTTTCTCACTGTCCCTTTTATACACAAACACAAATATGTACAAATATATTTGAATTCTTCTAGTGTCCTCTTCTCACTGTTAATTTGCTTTTATTTTAATAAATCTAAGTTGAAGTCAGTCAGTGAGGAAATTTTAAACATCAGAACATCATTATCAAAGAAGTCTTGATATTGTGAAGTCAATGACGCAGGTATAAATCTTTATTTTTCTCATCTCGGAAACAACTATAAATTCTCCTAAGATATTTCCCATAAAATTAATCTCTTTGAAGATCTTTGCTCCTTCTGTCACATTAGAAGTGATTTTCCCAGGTCAGCACTAACTCTGCCGGCTTCAGCTGTTTTCTGAAACAACAGCGCCCTCTTTCTGTTTTGTGGTGTAAAGCAATCCAGCAGCTTCAAATCCAACTCTGATACACAGTGAGTGGAGAGCAGCTGGAGACTGACAGTTTGTAGTGATAAAATGCTTCACACAGCTGCTTTCAAATGAAAGAAGAAATAACATAATTTTCATCCTAAAAATGAGAAGCTGACAGTTTATTGATAAACACACCTAAGCTGAACTCTGCAGTCAGTGGTTTTACTGCTAGAATCTTACTTGGTCTGGTATGACCAGTAGCTTATGGTGACTAATGTTTACAAACCTAATCCAGACATAGTTGTACAGCTGATAAAAGTGAGTAATTACTTACTTTTACTGGGAAATTCTTTGTTTCATCATCTTGTAACTCCAGACCAAATTGTTCCAAACTTTGTTTAAAGGCGACGCCATCCGAGGTGCCTATTCAGGCATCGACCAGAATGGCTACGGCTTCAGCACCGTTGATCGTGACAACGACGGCTGCTCCCCGTGCATCTTTGGTGACATTGCGAAGAACCAATGTACCTCATCAGATGGCGGTGGTTGGTGGTACAGTCGCTGTGGTTCTGCCAGTCTGAATGGTGACTGGCATCCTGCTGGTGACAACATCGGTTGGGCCTCTGGCCTTCACTGGCGCACCTGGAGACCTCCTGCACCTTACTCGGCCAAGGCCAGCAGAATGATGATCAAGTCTGTGTGAGAGGAGAGCGTCCATGTTTAACTCCATGTTGGCTCACATGTAAAAGAAGAATCCAACAATCATCTTTGTACTGCTCTTACTTTTAGAAAGTGGTTGTTCAGTTTATTTCACACTTGTGGGGTGATTCTGCCTTTGGAGATTAAACAGTTACAGTAATGCTGGATGCTAGTGTTCAGTCGTAACTTAAATGTACCAAGTCACTTTGAGGATTTTGATGCAGCACAATCCACATCTAGTGCAAGGTGTTTAGCCTTTGTAATAGCCGTGCTAACAATCCACAAAATGCATTTATTCCATTATGAAACTTCTACAAATAAACTACTTGCAGAACCTGCTTGTCAAATGTTCTTTATTCCTGGTTTAACACCATGTGAGTAACAATGAGTTCATCTTCAAACTATTATTACAGGTTTTACATTTTCAAACATTTATTGCAGTATGTTTTACATATAGATTTTCGATGATGTCATCACATGTAAATCAGGTCTTTGTTTCTTGGCAACATTAAACAGTTCAGAGATTTGCATGAATATGTGGCAGTTGAGGTAAAGATTAATATTATTTAATATAAAGGCCGTTATAAATTCCACTTGCAGTTTTATTCTCCACTGACGGACAATAGAATGGAGAGACTCCCACCTCGCTGGATTACAAGTGTCTGGTGTATGAACCATTTTGAGACAGATTTACATTGTTTTCATTAAACTTACTGTCAGAGGATGGAGCGTTGGCTGCACTCAGTACGTCACAATCAGCTGAAGTGATCCAGGCCACAGTGTGGCACTGCTCGCACATCCCAGGTTTACAACAGCATTCAAAGTGATGGCTAACAAGAGAAACAACTTGGGAGATAAAATACCTGTTGTTCCCAGTGTTGCTATGGAGGTGTGGTCAACAACTGGGAATTAATCTACCTGCCTAACTGTAAATAAATCCATATCATTCATTTATAATGGCATTCTGTGATGTCCTGTAAATAATGTGCCTGGCAGCCATTATTTACATCCTGCAGTGGCCTTACATGGTCCTTGTTCAATGAAAATATTGATCAGTCACTGATCAACAAAGATCTTATAAATATATGGTCACTTAACATTTTCCAGCTTTACAAGTTGCCAAGTTTCTCCTGAGAGCTCCATCAAACAGTTGACTCCTATTCCAACAGTTTTAATGCCTAAACATCTGACAGTCATCCAGAACTCATAGAACCATAGTTACACATGTAACTCTCCTTTTAGCCTCTAACACCAGCAGATAACGGCTCACATTTCACTGAACCCAAAGCACAGGTTATCTCTCAGAGGTAGACAGTTAGCTGCTTCAAGTCTAGCGGCTAATGGGGTCGGCTGAGTGTGTTTGAGACACATAGATGAGGCTGGAATCCAAGGTTCATGAATGCTGAGCTTTTTTATTTCATTTCTTTTCATATTTCTTTTATTTAAAGTATATGTTTTTGGGCTTTTTATGCCTTTATTGATAGTGCAGTAGAGAGAGACAGGAAATGGGGCCAGCTGCAGCGAGGACTGTAGCCTCCACACATGGGGCGCCTGCTTTACGCCACACGATGCCCCTCAAATTTCTTTTTAACATGTGTGTGGTTTATGCCAGGACGTACACCCACCATGGCTGAGGTAAAAAAAAAAAAGAAAAAAAGGAAAGAGGTGTATATGACCTCTCATCCTGGTTAAGTGGTTGCACCTGAGGAGGGCGGTTCCTTTCCAGGCAGGAGTGGTTCATCTATCCTCCCTCCCTGCCTCAGGTGTGATCATGAGACTCCTGATTGGAGACTTCTTCACAGCCTTGTGAATAAAAACTCATAGTATTTCCAGAAACGGTCTTATTACCAACTGGGCTTCAGTGTGGAAGTTTTATGGTAATATTCCCTTCTCTCAGTCTGCCTCATCTGATTCTGCTTTGGTTAGTGATTTCCTGCATCTCCCAGGTTGAAGCAGGTGTCAGTTTAGTCAGTGGGAAAAGGTGCTCTTCCTGTTGTGGAGTCTGAGCTGAGATTCAAGGTTCACTGAACATGCAGGTGAGTGTTTGTGCTTATTGATTTTAATGGTTGTATTTTACACTTAAATCTTTTGAAAGTGAAGGAAGGTTGAAATGTCTGCTTTGTCTCATTTGTCAGTCTCCTTATGAGGGCTGAGTTGTAAACTTCAGTTTTCAATTAACATTGAAAGAAGTAATATTGTTGTACATGCTGAGGGTTGATTAAAAAGTTGTTAAAGATATTTTAAGATATCTGATTGGGACCAAAATGTGACTTTTAAACTGTGAAACTCAGGTGAAAATGAAGAGTCTGGTTGGATACTTTGGGCTCATCTTGGCTTTTCTCTTCAGCTGCACAGGACAGGCTGAGGTAAAAATCAAAACTACAGAAACCTCCCCTCACATCAATGTCTTCTTCTGTACTTGCATGAGTGTAAATCAGATAAAAACATAATGTCTTCTCTCAAGCTCTGGTTGCAATGTCTACCTGTAAGTTGTGTATTTTCACTGCATCAAGTCTCACTTTAAAACTTTCTCTGTGGCGTTGCTAGGGACAGCGGACAGGAGGTCGAGGTACAGAGCATGTTGTTATTGCTTACACTTTACAATTCCATATACTTTACATTAGGAATGTACCTTGTACCACTTTCATATTGACTGTGGCTCATCCTCTTTGTTTTCTCTTGTCATGTACATCTAAGGAACAGACTGCACACAGATCAAGACTCGCTCACCACAAGCATCCAGTGGAGTTTATGCAGTCCAGCCTCCTGGAGTCAAGAAGCCATTCATGGTAATGAATGTGGCATGTTGTGTACAAAGCAATTTGTACTTTAACTAACATTTTGCTAAGCCCTGCCTCCTGCTATGCCTGAGGCTTTCTGTTGGCACACACACAGTTTACCATGACAAAGGTGGCAGATTTCTCCCTCTGAATCTGTTGTTGCTGCCATTTGTATTTAATATGCATGTCAGAAATCAGCCCAACATGTCACTTAACACGTCATGTGATCCTTTCCAAAGCCCTGTAGAACAGGTCTCAGTCTCTAGTAAAAGTGTGAGAAAACCTGGTAGCTGGTTTTCCTAACGTGTTTCCTTGACTACCTGTTCAGGTGTACTGTGAGATGCGAGCAGATGGAGGCTGGATGGTGTTTCAGAGACGCAGTGGACAAGCAGTTTCCTTCAACAGGAAATGGGCAGAATACAAAAATGGTTTTGGAGACGTGACAAGTGAGTAAGATAAAACACTGCAGCGTTAACTGTCATTATTCATTTCCATTAATCCTGACAGTTTAAAAGTGGTTGTTTGTCTAGAAGGCTAAGTCTAATTCATGGTGACTGTGACACACCTTACAAAACACACAGTGAATATTCATTTTAATTCATTAATTTTAAATTCGAGACTGGATGTACTGTAAAGAGAACACATTGCAATAACAAAGATGTTGTTTTTCTCGTCGACACTTGCAGCAAAGAGCTCCCCTTGTCACCTGCTGTCCTCCAGACTGTGGAGTAAAGAGACACAGTCCAGCTTCAAATCTAAACTAGATTACACTGTGAGGGTGACATGTACTTTCTCTAATACATTATCGGCCATGGTGGAAACTTCACCTGGAGGAAAGCCCTTTCAGAGAAAACTCACTTCATCGCCAATTATAAGCACAAATTGCAAGGTTGAACTTTCACCTGACCCTGAATTCCTGCTGATTCACCCACAGGAAACATAAAAACCTGAATCCTGCAGCAATGATAACTGTTGTTTTGTAAAGGGCCAAATTCTTTAGGACATAGTTTGTTTGTGGAAATTGGTGCATAAACGTGTCATGGCAATGCTCTGCTGATTCCCTCAGAGGACCACTGGCTCGGTCTGGAGAAGGTTTCCTCTGTGACCAAGGACAAGACCAAGAAGTGGACCCTTAGGGTGGACTTGTGGGACCATGAAGGTGGCACTGCTTTCGCTGAGTACCACGACTTTAGACTGGGAGATGAGGACACAGCTTTCAAACTGCATGTGGACAAATACAGTGGAAACGCAGGTACTGCAGCCGTTTTATCTGCTGCTCTTTAGCTTTCCTCACTGTCCCTTTTTTATACAAACACAAATATTCTCTTTATTTATACCATAATTTTTGCGTGCTGTTTTCAATGTTTTGAGTGAGTGTAAATTAAACTTACAAGTCAATGATGCACATTAGAAGTGATTTTCCCAGGTCAGCACCAACTCTGTCGGCTTCAGCTGTTTTCTGAAACAACAGCGCCCTCTTTCTGTTTTGTGGTGTAAAGCAATCCAGCAGCTTCAAATCCAACTCTGATACACAGTGAGTGGAGAGCAGCTGGAGACTGACAGTTTGTAGTGATAAAATGCTTCACATAGCTGCTTTCAAATGAAATAACATCATTTTCATCCTAATAATGAGAAGCTTAAAGTTTGATAAACACACCTAAGCTGAACTCAGTGCAGTCAGTGGTTTTACTGCTACAGTCTTACTTGGTCTGGTATGACCAGTAGCTTATGGTGACTAATGTTTGCAAACCTAATCCAGACATAGTTGTACAGCTGATAA